TTAACTTTACCACACACTTGGAGAACAATATTGCAGAGTTGTAGGCAGATATTACTCTTGATTTCACAAAAAGGGAAAATTACATTCATATGCTTCATGGGGAAGGTGGGGCAGGCAACTTCTGCTTCAGTGCTCTGGGGGCTGCTGGTGCTTGTAGAAAGGTCACCAGATCCTCCAGAGAGGCTGGGAAAGAGTACAGTTCTCATCTGAAATGGAGATGTATCACATCTCCCCACCTCCCTCTCCTCCAAAGTGCCTTTCCTCCTGTCCGCCAGCAGCCAGGACACCCCCTCTGAGATAGCCTCACTTCTCTTTGCCCTTGGTCAGCTGCAAACCCAGCTGGAGGCATCTTTCTCTGTTCAGCCATCTGTACTGAGGGCAAGCAACACCATCGTTCACTGGGTGCATCAGAGTTTTTTCCTTTCTTCCTTTTCTTCCTTTGCTTCTTTTTTCCTTTCATTTTTAACCCAGACTCATGTTGTTGTCCATCACCTTATTTTATTCTCAGCCCTTTCTGTGCAGGTATCTGGGTGAACATAGTATCTCATTGCACTCCTTGCTGCTGAGATAAAAATCAGAGACCAGAAGAACTTCGTTTTGTGATAGATCAGGTTGTTGAGAGAATTCTGAGTCCTCTGGGATCTGTGTCTGATTTTCTTTTTGCAGCTCAGCCAAGAAATAGCAAAAGGCAGGAAAGTGTCTGCAGCTTGCAGGTTTTGGCAGTCCCTGAATCTGGGTGAAAATGCTTTGCTTCCTGCAAAAATACCATGTCTCCATGAAGTAAAGGCCACTTTTCTGTCAAACCACTAAAAGTTGCTTTAAGAGGTCATTGACGTAGAGAGTAGTAAATTTAGAATAGCTCCAGGGCTGACTTTTCTCTCTTGGTAACTGGCAAGCAGGTGGAAGTGTGTATGGATAGGGAAGAAATCTCTCAGGAGTTGGTGCAGAAAGACAAAATGCTTTCTTGGAGGATTTAGACACTGCTTAAAATTAGGTTTAATTCCAATTTGGACCAGAATTTAAACTCTGCAGTACCTCAGTAAAAAAATGTAGTAGTAGAGACCAGTGGGTGGCAAATCTGCTCAAGGTGTCTTTATTGCCAAGAAAAAAGTTTTGTAGTCAAACCTTCCTGTGACACTAATCTGCATGCTTTAAGTTTGTGGGATTGACAAATCTGATGGAAGGGATGTTCCCACAAACATGAAATGGGATATTCCCATGATCCCACGACCTTTGTTCCTGCTGGAGCCTGCTGCTGGCCTGATGTGAAGCCTGTTTTCATGCTTGATGTTGTATCAACTTCATGAGCATCTTCATGGAAATCCAGTGAAATAGCATAATATATTTGAGTAAAAGCCAAGAATTTGTAGAATCACCGTCTAAGACCTCATAAAGGAGCTGTGGCATTTCCAATTTTTCCATAAGGAAGTGAGATTTTGTTGTGGGTGGTCTTCTGTTCACAGCTAAGCAGTAAAACCACACAGTGAGCAGGAACAAAATGGGTGGCAAGTGCCTTGACTTTTAATACATCTCAGGCAAAAGCTGGTTTAGTCCAAACTAAAATCAAAGCAGTTCACTAAAATTTAGAATAGAGCTGGGCAGCAGCATCTCCCTCCCTCATAAAGCCACTCCTGTGAGCACAAAAATATATTTTAATAGTGTTTGAAGAGTAGATAAGAGGTAAGTGTTTAAGTGTTTGGTTCACCTCAAAAACCTGACAGCTGGGACTGGCTGTCTCACTGCTATTTCTTGATCTGGGACACATGAACCTGTTCAAGCCATAGGTCACTAAAAGAGAGCAGCCAACCTGCTTGTGAGTGCAGCAGAAGAGAGAATTTCAGCTTGAGAGAGCCCTGAGTGCGTGGGAGCAGTTCTGATTTGCGCACCAGAGAGAGAGAGAAGGACAGCTGCAGCCAGCCAGGGAGTAAGGAAGGATTCTGTGGAGGGACAGCAGGCTGCCTGCTTTCAGAACAATCAGCAGAACAATCTCCTAATGCCCTGAGTGTGGTATCAAAGTGTCAGCTTCATGCTAAATCGCAGAACATTTCTGGGCAGCAAATCTGTCTCAAGTTGCCTCTCCAGAATGCTGGAGTCCCAAAGCGTTTTGAGCACTATTGAAATTGCTTTTTTTCTATCCCCAGTCTTTTTTCTTCTTTGTAGTGCTCTTTTCTCTCTTGAATAGTACTTACATGTCAATTAAGCCCTTTACAAGTCACCAAGGATCTGGTATTTTAAGCTGTTGTCTTTGCATTATATTAAATTTTCTCTAACTCATTTCCTTATTTTTCCCCTATGGGAAGTCCCTAAACAAGCAGTTCTTCAGTGGACAGTAAAATAATTTGAATGGCAGCCATCCAACCTGGCCTTTTTCTAGATAAGTGGTTTGGGTATGCTTAAGAACCAATGAAATTTTTAATATTCAGTTTTGTGTGGTGTAGCCAAAGGGATTTTCTTCTTCTGAATGGGGGCAGTGGGAAAGTCAGGTAAAAAGGTGATTTCTGCTGTACCCCCACAGTTTTCCACTGGAGGTTAAAAGAAAGGGTTCCCCCTTCAAATTTTCCATTGACTGCTTTTCTCTGCCTCCACCAAACACTTTGTTGTGCCTGCCTTGCTGTGCTGAAAATGTCACTACTTTGATATCACTGATGTTTACAGGAGGTAAAAAAGCAAACCCTCTCATTGTTTGAGTCAGGAGGGCTGTGAAGCTGCTGTTAACAGGAAAGGAAGGGCCCACATGTTCATCTCCTCTTCTCTGGAAGCAGGAAGGATGCTGTGCCCTGTTCACATCTGCTGCACAGAGGGAGCATCACCTCCCTGCCTGTGCCTGCTTTGGGCATGGCTGGTGCTTGGAGGAGCCCAGCAGAACAGGAAATGTCCAGGCTCAGAAGGACTCCAGTTCAAATATTTGTGGTTTGCATTTTATTCAGGGAATGTTTTCCAGAATCAATTCTCATCTTTGGTCACTTCTCTTAGCTCGTGGGATGGCATAAAAAGGCACCTGACCTTAAAGCCTTAACAGTCCTGGCTTTGCCTTGTCATGCATGAGGAGGAAAGTGGCTGTTCCTGGTGTCCCTGGCAGAAACCACAGGGGTTCTGGTGAACAGGTGATGGATAATAAACCCAGGAGCTGCACACATGCAAAGCTTTAGTTTAGCCCCATCATTGTTGAGCTGACAGGTGCTGACAAAATCACAGCCATGCCCTGAGCTATTTCCAGTCCCATTGCAATTAAGCATGTTGGTCAGTCCAAAGGTGAAAGCTGTGTTGGAGTGCAGTGAAAGCCAAAACCACAGAAGGCTAAATTCACTGTGCTCTGTGTGAATGCACCGCTGAGTAATATTTAATGTTTTTCCCTTCTTATTCAGTCATCCAGTGGGAAAAGCATTTTTCTTCAGAGGATTGCTTCTCGGCTTTGACTTCTTTTGCTGCTTGCATTTGAGTATGTGTCACTCACCTCCCAGCACTTTGCTACTGAGCCTTTGCTGGGTTTCAAACATCCCCTGTTGAGAATGTTCAGCTTTTTATAAATACTTATGTAAAATTAAGCAAGAGGTCAGGGTAAGAACAAGTGACTGATGTGGAGCTGAGTGTATAGGATGCTGTTCTGAGAAGTGGAAGATGTTGATGCTGTTGCATTTTTAAAAAATTTGTTTTAAGCAGGCAGCCAGTAAATCTGAGCTCTTGTTGGTAATTATGTGAACCATCTAACTAAAGTCATGAGAATTTTATCTGAGAAAGTGACAGTAAATGCTTCATATGGAGTGGAACACTACTGCAAAAGACTGGAGAAATCACCTTGCATCTCTAGGACTTACACAGGAGGTATAAACACAGTTAAACTCCCTTCAGGTAAAGGCAGGGGAAAGGATTGGACCCGGGTTCCCACATCCTGATGCTGACCCTGGCCTGTTTCCTCTGTTATAATTGCAAATGCCTGCAGAACAGTTTTGTTTGAACAAACCTGCAGTGAATTGAACATGAATTTGCAAATGACTGCTCTCTGTGTGCCTGAGAGGAGCTGAGTAAGTGCTTTGACAGAAATGCTCCACCCTGCTCTCCTGAGCAGCTGAATATTTCTGCTAGGAGGATGGGAATGCTCTCAAGGCAGTTAGATCACAAGTATTACAGCAGGAATCTCCTAAAAATCTCAGCAGGGTTTTTAGTCCTCAGTGTAGAACTGCACAGGTGTTGTTGTCATCAAAACCGAAACTGATACACCAATCAGACTTAGACGAGTGTTTTTCGGAGCTTACCTATCGTGAATCTTTCACTTCTAGGTGACAGCACGATAATTTTTATCATCTGTGAAACTTGATTAATCAGCTCCTGTGTGCAGTGGGCTATAGCCTGGAATGAATAGTAGATTCTTGAAAATGCTGCATCACTTCTTTTCTGGTGAAGGGGAGACATTTCTGCAGCCTTCACCTCTACAAGCACTCTTCCTCAGAATGAAAATCAGATATGATAGGGAGGTGTTTCTGGTCAGGGGCAGAGCTGAATGTCACTGCTGATGAGGAGACTCTAGCTCGTCAAACTGAGCAGTGATTCTGTAAGAGAAACCTTTAGAATAAATTCTAAATAAAAATACATTCCTAGAAACGGCTCCTTGACCTATTTGCCCCTTACAGTAAATTATTCTGCTTCTAGATTGATATTTGTGTTCTGTTCACTTGGAGTTGATGCAGCTTTTCCACCATGGCAGACCACCCCTGTTCCCACAGCGCCGCTCTCGCTGGTGTGTGGGCGCAGCGTTGTGTCACCGTTCCGTGCTAATCTGGAGAATGAGAGGGAATCCTCTGTGGTCTCTTACAAGCAGTGCTTTCAAGTAGATCTGTGTGGGCTGTGTTTGAGAGAGATGAATGTGCACTCAGTGCTAGAATGACTTTAGGAAAGGGGTTTCCCTTAAGCCTGGGGTGTAGGTTAAACCTTGAGATATATATACACAGATAGACTTCTGCCTCCAAACCTCTTGGTTCTCATTTGATTCAGGGAGCCTTTATTTGAGCCTGAGATGTCCTAGCCTGGCAATGCAGAGACAGACACCTTCCCTAAATATGGTGAGTAACATCTGCATTCCTTGGAAATCTGTACTTGGTAGGTCTCTTCCTAGCCTCAGAATGAAGTCATGTGCTTCTTTTCCCTTCTCATCTACCAAAAAGACCTCAAATCCAAAACCTGATATTTTAAAGGTTTATTTTGTTCCTAAGTGGCTTTGTAATTTCTTCCTACTCTTTATATAGAATGACTATAGAAATGTTCTTTTATTTACTTTTCCTAAATAAAGTTGGACAATGAAGAGTACAGTAAAGGATGTATTGCCATATATGTTACTGACTATATTTAACAGTTATTATTTATCCCAATTATTTTGGGGTAAATTTAGTGGTACAAAGATTCAGTGCACTTATACTGGTTTTGACCAAAATCCCTCTTTTTGGATAAGGTTTCTGCTGAGAACTTGGCAAGTTTCATCTGTTTTGTGGAGTTTGGGATGCTCCCTGAGCTCCTGACTGCCTGGAGCAGGCACAGGATTCCCTTAGGCAGTTCTATCGTTAGGACATCTACTACAAATTATTTTCTATAATCCCCATAGCATTGGAGAATGGGCTAGGTGGTATTTTGCTTGCCTTGTTGCTATAAATTGGTATTGAAGCTGCACCTCAGAAGTTTGGATGCATCCTAACCTTGAGTAAGGAATACTTGGAGATGCAGTATTAAAACCTCCTTTCTCCAGGCCCGTGCTGTTGGCTGCCAGAGGGCACATTGCTGTTTGTGCTGTGGCAGCTCTAGGAACTCCAGACTGTTCTGCCTCCATCCCAAAATGAACCAAAAGTTCTCATCTTCCCTTGGCTCGATTCTGGATCCTCAGGACGTGGTGATATGCTGCTGGCACAGTGCAATATTCTGGCAGCAGCAGCACCACATGTCTAGAAGTGTGGGAGTGCTGGAATGTGTGGAAAGCAACATATGATTCTGAGTTGTTTAGGACTGGCCAAGAAATGCCAATGATTTTTTGCTGCTGGCTGCTTGGAATGTTCCTACCTTTTTGTGAGCTCTTCTTTCTCCTTTGGTGTGTTGGGTTTTTTTGTTTTGTTTTTGTTTTGTTTGTTTGTTTGTTTTGGGTTTGTTTTTTTTTTTGTTTTTTGAAATTTTTTTTCCCCTGGGATTTTGAAGCTTGTTTGGAGGGCATGAATCGTACATAGAACAGAGCTGCATTCCTCTTCCAAATCAACTCTTTTTGCTGTTAAACTTCCCTTCTTTTTGGTGCATTGCTTTTTGTAGCTAGGGTTGCCTCTGCCTTTTTTACGGACACGTGGCTCCTGTACTTGGAGCAATCTCCTTTCTGTTACCTTTTGATATTCTACCTCCTTATACTGCAGAGATTTGATTCCAAAGTCATGGATTTGATACTTCCTAACTTTAATCTCTTCCTTTGTATTGTACAAGAAAGTTTTGTCCTTTCCTGTCAGGACATCAGTTTCACTGCAGTGATGTCTCTATTAAAAATTCTTCAGCAAAAGCCCCACCTTTTGTGTGCTATCAATGAATATCATAGTTATTAATCTTACTTTTATCCTGCAGCATTTTTCCTTTTCACATCTGTATTTTATTTTTCTGAAAGCTTCCTATCCATGCTTTGGTAGTGAACAAAAAGCCCATTTTTTACTGCATTATTTACAGTTGACATTTAACAAATAAGTAAGTACTTGCTTCCCATCTTGCCCACTTCCAAATAATTTGTTGAGCAAATTAAAATTGGACACAGATAATAGCATTGAAAAGATATTAATTGTTGAGAGTTTTACTTTTTCAACATATTATATAGTTTTTAAAAAATTAGTTTTTATTCCATGAACAATTTACTTCCACAGGAATTGTGTACAGTAAGTGTGCTCAGAGTATCATGGACTTTGTACCCAGACCTCTGTGCACTACTTGGCTTTAGCTGAACTGAACATTTGCCATGAAGACAAAACTTCTTATAAATATATTAAAAATGAGGAGTCTCATTTTTAACAGGAGAAGTACTGAGGGTGTTTTGAGGTAGGTTGTGTGTGACTTTGATGGCTTGGTGAGATGATATTTGCAACTTCCTCTGGTCACTTCTTATGTGACTCTTTTGCATGTTGGGAGTGTTGTCATGATATTTTCGGCACTGAGCTTGTGTTTTGTGGCCTTTCAAATGAGTCTGTGTGCCTTAAACTCACTTGTGCAGGTGCCTGTGTGGAGTGACTGACATGGTAAGCCAAATGTAAATGTGTAAAATGTGTGTCACCCGAGGCTGAGCACAACTGTGGTGGCTTTTTGGTGGCATTTGTGCAACTGATTTAACTTGAAAGGATGTGTACTCATTGGGGAATAATCTTCTGACTTTTAGATCTTCTTGAGATCTTCAGTCCAAAGATGTTTAGAAATTTGCTGATTGGCAAAGGGAAAAACATGCCTGCAAATTGGTTGTGTCTCAGTTCCAGTTCAAGAAACAAGTGTTGTATTGATTTTGAATGAGGTCCTGCTGTTTAAAGCAGTGTTTTGCACTCACCACTGACACGAATTCATGTGTCAAGAGGAGCATTTTCACAAACCCAGTATGGGGGAGCACAGCCCACACTGTTTATCAAGTTGTGGATATCACAGCTCCAGGGGAGGGCATCTGGGAATTAAGTTCTTTGCAAGGATTGCTGCTTAAAATCTACAGTTACCTTAATAAAGGAGAATTGTGCTTAATATGGAGATCAGCTTCAGGTATTCAGCATTAAATCTTCCTGCATCACACAGGGCAGGTACCAGTTTCATTTTGTCCAAATTAAATTAGGCAAGACAGCTACCTACTCTACTATTTATCTACTCTAGGAAACTGTCTACTCTTTATTTTTGGCTAAAATCAAGCTTTGGGTTTAAAATTTTAGTTAGAAAGTGTCTTACGCTGAAGTTTCAGCACTTTATCAGGAAGTAACGGGGAGGAGGCAACTGGCAGATCTTGCTGTGTTTGTGGCATTTGTGTGTGTGAAGCTGCATTTTCAGCAAAGGGCAGACAGACATGCAGGCTGCTAGGAGAACAAAACCTGAGAACATCTAGGTAGAGGGGGATGGCAGACATGTTCTGTGCTTCATTTCTTCATCAAAAAAGTATTGAAGGCTTTATTCCTATTTTAGTTTCAGTGAGTGTTGCTTAGGCTCTCTTTCATCAAATGCTCTTTTATTTCTCTGGTTGTTCTTCCATTTTGATCAAATTTACTGTAACAATGCATTTCTGCCTCCCACTCCTCCTACACGACAACCACTCACAAATAATGTGTAACCTGCTGGCCTGTTTATCAACAGCACTGGTGATGGTGTTTGTTCCACTTTGTTTTGGAGCTATTTTGCAATCTGGGTAATGCTTAAGTGAGGTAAATTTACTCAGCCTGGCTGTGACAGGCCCTGCAGCTTTCACAACAGAAAAATGTGTATTACTGGAAAGGTAACTTATGAGTGGGTTTATTCCTTTTGTGAATTTTGTCAGCAGGTACTTTAATTTATTTGGCATATCATTTCTTTTCTGTTCTTTCTACTGGGACAATGTCTGGTGATGGTGGTGACCTGTAAAACTGAACCATGGGGTTGATCTAGGCAGGAAAACCAAACCAAACCTCTCCTTTCCCCTTTTTGTGCTTTTAGTCTGGCTCATCTCTGGCATTCATTTTAAATTGCATTCCTACAAAATATTGCTTTGATACAAATTAAAGGAAAATGAATTACTGAGCAAGTTTGGGTGAAATGAGCAAGGGTTTGGAAACATCAGATGCTCTTAAGCTAGAGCTAGATTTGGGGAAAGAAAAAGAGAATGGAGCAAGATCAGTGCAGGATTTAACATTTACAATAAGGACATTTGTGAAAAGCACTTTGGAAAATATACTGAAACACCAGTGTGATGAGTGCCTCTCTGGTTGTAATCAATTTTACAGTTAAGATTTCATTAGAATTAGTGAGTCTCATTGTCTTCCTTGAACAATGTAATTTTTTTCATCTTCAAATGTGTTTTTTATATGTGGGAAACTTGTTTTTAATGCAAATTAATACTCCAGCCAAACAAGTGCCTTTTTGACCTATTGTGGGTGTATCTACAAAATACTTAGGGCTTGGAACCGTGATAAATTTGGGGGGGGAGCACCAAGGAAATTCTGCACCCTTTTTAACAAACATTTCCAATTATTGCAAAACCCCATAAATCTGTGAGCAGGACGGATTCTGTTTTACTTCAGGGTGTTCCTGTTCTTAAAAGCCTTGACAGAAAGCAGAAAATTTATGTAATTCTGGGCAATCCTTTACATGACCATTACAACCCTCTCTTTTACAGAGCCTTAATTCTTTGAAGTAGCTGAATTTTATCCATCTAGGCTTCAGTCTGCCAGATCTAATAAAAACCTACAGCATTACACTGCATATTATGATTGTAAAAACTTCTGGTTGTCCTAATAACAAACACTTGCACAGGGCAGAGGGACTGGGTTGCATCTCTTTGGTTCAGGTTTTCAAGCGGAGATTTGGATTTTAGCTACAAAATCTGCATATGACTAAGAGTCAGGAGACCTGCACAGCCTCCCCCACCCCAGCAGTGTGAGCAGCAGGGCTTCTGCAGAAATGCATGTTTATGCTGCCTGGGTGTGCAGCTGGGCCACGCAGGGATGTGGGACTTGTCAGCTTTCTCTGTGTTTCCCTGGCTCAGTGGAGCAGGGACACAGCAAACCCAGAGTGCTCCCCAGCAGGGCCCCCAAATCTGGCTCACCCTGCACAACCAGGAGAGAACAAGATAACTGAATAAATATATTTTTGTTCATTCACCACTGCTTTTCTCCTTTCCAGTTTTTCAGTGTGTTGCTTGCTTCTTACAGGACTTGTACCAACATGGGTGTCATATTTTCAGTAACATTTCACCTGCATCCTTTTAATGTGGGCTGCAATACTGTGCCCAGCTTGGCAAATACACATGAAACTGGTGAAATGTCAAAGCTCAGTGGACAAATTAGGGCTGGAGTAGCAGTCTGAATTCTGTGGTGTTCTGGGCCAGTTTGGGGTTTTTTTTCATTCTGCTTCCTTTTAGTCATTTTGGGGTGTTTTTTTTGTTGTTTTTGTTTCAGTGACAGTGGAGTGTTCATTCCAGGTCAATGCTTTTCAAATTTTATATTTTTTTAGTCAGACACATGCAAGCCAAGTTCAGGCACTCCAAAATAAGGCTTAATCCTCACTAGCCCCCCGTGTCTGCTGCTCCCATTGAAATCAATCAAATGCAGCTTTCCATACCTCAGTGTGATTGTGTTATGATTAAACAGACACTCATAAAACTCAGACAAGCTGGAATCAAGTTTCACATGAAACTGAATTGACATTTTTTTCCTTAATAGGATCCTTGTAATTAGTGATTACCAGATGCATTTAGAACGTGTGAAATGCCTGCAGGAATTGGAATTTAGAAAGTGGGGGGATGCCAAACACCTCAGATCTTCTGCTGGCAACCTTTCATTTTAAATTTCTGCCCTGCACATAGATGAAGCAGCATGGTTTCTATAAAATGTTCAGCTGTGGTTTCACATTAAGCTGATGTTACCAATAAGGAGAGTAACTTGTAATTGAAAACTGATTTGCTTATAACTAGCAGGTTTAGCTCTGAATGGCTCCCCTCTTCATTTCAGTGATCACCTTGCTGTCCTTAAGATGGGTCCTATGAAACCTGTCCATTTTCAGTTCTAGCAATTGCCATGATGATGATGTTTGATCTAAAGAGAAGAGTAAGGCTTCTGGGCTCCTTTTCTGATGGACTAGAGGTATCTGAGGAAACATCCCCACGGCTGTCACCAGCCTGCAGCACAGGAGTAGAATGATTGCTCTGGATGAGGTGGTGTTGGCTCACTCTTTGTACCATGTCTTCTTCCACTTGAGACGGAGAGGTGGTGCTTGCTTTCTTCATGTTTGGAGTTCTAATTCAAAATCTCCAGTTTCAAGAGATTATCTTAATGAGGACTGCTTACTGTAGCAGCCCTTGTCTCTGGGAGCTTGGTCTGGAATTTTTTGTCTCCCTTCTTTTTGGAAATGCAGTGCTGGAGAGTAACTTGCCTGACCAGAGGGGAGCTTGTGGAGTGCTGGAACAACACACTCATGCTCAATAACTTCCATGAGGCTCCTTTTCTCTCCAAGTGATTTAGATCAGAGTCATTACTCAAATTCTCTTAATTTTGGGGCAGTAGTTTTATTGGGCACTTCCGTGAAGCATAGGAATTTTTTGGACAATGTGAGGACACGCTTGAATTCAAGAGTATGAAAATTAATTGATTCTTTTAGGATGATTAATAAAAGCCTTTTTTGCAACCCTTCCAGTGTTCCTGCAACTGCTGGCAGCTTTGTTCCTTGGGTAGATTTTTGTCACAGCAGCCAGTTCTGCCCTTGCAGAACTGTCCCTGACACAGTGGTGGGCTTCATAGAGGATGGTGCTGGGAAGGAGGCAGTAGATTCCTGGCTTGCTTGTCAACCATTTGTAGTTTATGAAAAATAAAATAGAAATACAAGACACTGTTATCTGTTCTCACTGTAATTGGTTACTTAACTTTTTCTGCTTAGATTGTTGGGGGTTTTTTTACTTCTCCTTAAGAACTCTTGTTTTTTCTTCCCTGCTCCTAATAGATTCACTGTGAGGAGCTCAAAATGAAGAAGAAAGATGCAGAGGATTGCATGGAGCTGTGCCCCCATCAGTGTGTTGAGATGGAAAGGTACTGTGTTTATATTACATGGAAAAACTTCTTTGTTAAAAATTTTTGGGCGCCTGCAGTTTCACAAGATGGCATTTGTCCTACCGATGACACTGAGAGGATTGAGTATGATGCAGTGAGTCCTCTGCCTTTCAGCTGGGGCTGCCTGGCAGCCACCACAGGCAAGGAGCTGACCTGACTTCAAGAGCTGGTTGTCCCCTGTCAGCTACTGTATGTTACATTTCCTGGCTGCGTGTCCAAATGGTTCTCGTCTGTCTGTCCTGCTCGTGCTGTCAGTCGATCACTACAAGTCCCTCAGCTCTGTGTGGTGGACACAGACTCCAATGAATCGTGGGCTTGTTTTCCTCCAAAGGCTCAGCCCAGCTCAACAGGGTGTTGGTGAAGCATCCCCATCCTGGCCCAGGCTGCACCAGGAGGCACAATGGGCTGCTTGTGGTGGTGCCTGATTTGAAAAGAGAGCAGTGGTGTCAAGTACCAGTTAAAAATGTCAGCTCTGTGCAGTTGTGCTGCATCAGAGTCACAGCTTCCCAGTGGAACAAGCACGTGGATGATGTGAACAGACTTGTGGGGCTGCAGCTGAATGTGCAGGGCAAGCAGCCAGTCCAGAAGGGGCCATGGGAGGGACACCATTCCAAAAAGGCATGTACTGAAGCCAGCAAAGTGCCCTGACAGGGGCACAAGCTTTTCTAGGCGTTGATCTCCACAGAAAAAGAGTGAGTGCTTGAAAAACATCTCTATTGCCTCCCTTTGTGTCGTTTTAGCTTTCAGCTCTTTCAACACGTTCCTGCCACCTCCCCACAGCTTTCTGCATGTGTGCCTTTCAGTGGGGGAGTTCATCGGCTCCGGCAGCACGTGCTGCTTGGCCAAGCTTGCCACTTATTGATTTCCATGGCAGAAATCAACTCCCTTTCCACTGGTGAGGCACACACAGCTACATGAGAGGCCTGGGGGCTGAGTCTGGGTGACAGTGCCCCACTTGCTGCCTCTCCAGGGAGACAGTTGTCCGCAACTCTCCCAGGGCTCGTTTGAAGCCTGAGAAAGTTGGTGGCAATAATTGAATTGGCTTTCCTGAGGTTTGAATGCAGCCCTAATGCTGTCCATTAGGAAGACAGTCAATGTCTTGGTAGTAAAATGAACTGGAAGATCCAAGTGAAAGGAGGGTGATGCTCTTTTCCTGATGTACAAGCTGTATAGAGTACAGGGGTGAGGCAGCAGCATAGAAGTTTTCCAAGGGACAGGAATATCCAGGCACAGAGGGAACAGCACCATGTGATAAGTAACATCATTTAATGCAAACCAACAGCCATGGTCTTCTTGCATGTTGCAAATTTCCTGAGGGGAGTAGTCAAACACTGAGAGACACTGAGTGCCTGTATACCATCAGTAGCTGTCCTTCTCCTCACTGAGCTGGGATGGGTTATAGGTGCTGCTTCACTTAATCACTGGGCCCCCCCTTTTGGGTTGTTTTTTTTCTTTTTTTGGCTTTTTTATTTTCAGAGGAAACCAGATGTGTTTCCATTAAGAACATGCCCCCCTTTTGTTGTCATTTGTGTAATTCTTAAAATTAAGCAAAAGTATTAAGGAATAATTGTTTCTGCTCACATTAACAGCACACAGATTCTCCAGATGTGGCATTTGACAGCCCGACAGCTGCTGGCCATTAAGTGCCTTAAAAGGCCCATTCCTTTGTCATAAAGGGAACAGAAGTGTAGGGACGTTTATGGGGTGAGAGGCAGATGTTTTGGCTGCATCAGATTTGAGGGAAAGTTTTAGGTGGTTTCTCTGCTATGGTCACAGTGCTTGTTTTAACCCCTATCATGCACCTTATGGAGCTCTCTTCTTGGCACTGGGGTGAGATTATTCCTAATCCCACACTGACCTGTGGGACTCTGAAGACAGAGCAGTTCTACCAGGTAGATCTCAGTTGATGTTTGGCTAGCTTCCCATCTATGCTCTTGAAACAGTAGATAAATTTTTGGGGGTGAAACTCAAGTTAAAATATTAAGCGAAAAACAATTTCAAATAATATGCTGCTGCTTTTTCCCCCCCCTAAACTCTCTTTTTAAGTGTCTACTCATAATCATCAAAGGCAGGTGTTCTTTTTGTGTTTGTCCCAGCACAGTATGTTTTATGCCCAATAAACTGTTTTTTATGGTGGCACATGGGAGGTGGAACATGGAACGAGTGGAGCTCAATTTTAAAAGTTCTGGCTCAAATTCCCAAGCCTAAACTTTGACTGGAGTGTTGAGTACTGGAATAGCACCGCTGGTCCTTAGGGAGCTGCACCACTTTTTAACTATTCCCTATCAGCTCAGAGTCTGCTAAACTTCTAAGAGCTTACAGGGCTGCAAAATCTTTTTCAGTAACAAAAGTGTTTTTGTCTTTTTTCTTCTTCCTATTGCTTATTGGACTGGAAATTCTTTGCTTTTTTTCAGTCTTAGCTGAAGATTTCAATATAAAAATCTCAATGTATTTGCATGAAAAAAAAATCAAAGAGTTCTACAAAACTGAATTAAAAGAGAGCAAAAGTTCTGCAAAATTACATGGAACGTAAGAGAATAGCCTTGTTCTAGAGATAAACTGTCATTTAAAAAAAAATATCCCTATTTTTATTCCTATTTAAAGTCTATTTCTAGAGCAAGTTAGATTAAATATTCTGTAATTCAATCAGATTCTCCCCCTTATTCTACAGGCCTTTTTCTGACATGAAGTCTATTATCATAAATAAGGGAAATATTAGCCGAAACAATTTGGCCCATTTTAAATTGATCTGACTAGTTCTTTCTCCATAATTCAAATGCAGAAATTTCTTTTTATCCATGAATTTACTTCCTAGGCTTAGCCAAACAAGAATCCTATATCCCGAATGCCCACCCAAGGGGATGAAGCACATGTTTTACCATTAAGCTCTGGAATTCATTTCCCATCAAAATATGGCTCCATGGTGTTGGCGTCTGGCTGTAAATCCTGCCTTAAAGCCTGTTTTCACAATTGTTTATGGTGTGTATTTGTGCTTTCACCACCACAAGCGAATGACCCCAGCACACCAGCCTTGAAATTAATAGTTAAAATAGAATTGTATGGCTTTGGTATGAGTGTTGTGTAATAAATGCCTCAAGACATCTCGTAGGTACGTCCATTGTTGCCATGTAACTGCTATGAGTAAGGAATAATGCCAGTTTCCAGTAAAAAACAGGAAAGAGTCAAGAGATGCAGAACTGGGACTCCTATGGAGCCTCTACCTTCTTATTTGAGGAACTTTTGGTTTTCAGCCTTCAATCTATGCTGCTCAAGCCTGAAGCATGGGGCTGATCATGTTCTGGCTCTCTGCTTAAAACTGGAATTGCTGTAAAAACTATGCAGCCATTTTTAAACAATCTTTATTAGTTAGAGAATTATACTATTACAAATAATACCAAAAATTATAAATAGGCCAGTGTAGCTAAAAACTGAAGTGGTGCAAAAATGTACTATGGGGCAAGAAGTGAAAACCATTTTAAATGCAGCAAGTTGAACACGTGGGAGAAATGAAAATAGCTTTAGTGGAGTGCAAAGTGAAGTTCTGCATGGATATGACAACTTGAAAACCCAAGAGAACATGCCTAATTTTTATTCCTGGTGGACATGGCTTTTCAGATCTGACATGGAAATTGTGAGGAAGGTTGGGCTGTCTGCTTTCCCTGCAAGCTGCTAAAACTTGTACTGGGAGGCCAGCTTCCTTCATTACATCTGGACCTTCTGCTTCCGTGTCAAATATCTTAATTTTTCAAAAAAGAAAATTTTACAACTAACTCGAAGTCTCCAAAAAAGAGTTAACATTCTAATCTTTGATTGCCTTCTGCAGTAATCACAGCTTGCTATGTGTAGTTTTTATATCTATACCTTAGAAAGCTTAAGCACGTGGAAGGATTATACTTTATCTTGTATAACCACAGAAAAATGCTTTTAAGTAGTTTAATATTTTAATATTTTCTCAAAAGTTTTAATGGTGCAGAGGTTTCCTGTGAACTCCAGGAAACCAAAAGCAGTTTTGCAAACTGTTCTGTGCAGAATCTGAATGCTGTGTGCCCTCTAGAGCTCTCTGGGGGAAGCTCTGGTAATCTTGGTCTGGGGTAGCTCCTAATCAGGAGTCCCTTGATGTATTCGAGCACTCAGAGCGTCTGTGTGCTCTGAAAGTCCAGATTCTAAATCAGATCTACACAGCAGATCTGAATAATGGTCTAGTTCACCATAAGTGTATCCTTCTGATTGTCAAAGTGGCTGATAATAAAATGCAGATAAATGCAGTCATAGTTTCTCAGTCTAAAAATGAAGTAACTTTCTGACTTTTGTGATAGTCTTCAAACACGGAACGGAAATTGGTTTGTAGAGATCGGAGCCTTTTGTAGTTCTCTTTCTTTTACCCAGGCACAGCTGTGTCCTGCTTTTGCCCAGGTAAATCAGAAAGAGGAGTGTAGGGACAGACAAGGGTAGGAGCAGCCAGAGGTGATTATCATTTACAGCTACAACATCAAACTGTGGTGAGCAGAGCAATGAACACTTCCTGACTGAAAAAAATATATCAAAAGCCAGCCCCCCATGTTTATGGGTTTTTCTCAGCTTGGTTCATGCTCTGACCTCAGGAGGTTGTGGTCACACACCTCCCCTTGCAGTGGCTGAACCAGAAGCAGAGCTGAGTGCAGCCTGCCTAAGCATTTGCTGCTGCACTCCTGCCAGATTGCTGCTCATCTTTTACAGTCCCCAGGGCTGCGCCCGGCCATTGCTCCTTTATTCTGAGTATTTTTTTTTCTTATGCTTTGCTGCTTCATTTGGCTTGAAAGAGTTTGGAAGCGCTGGCTGCTCTGCCCGAGCTGGGCGAGTCGGCTGTGCTGGCAGCTGGGGGTGGCGAATTGCAGCAGCGAGCGGCGGCTTCCGTGCTGTGGCTTTTCAGCTCTTGTCAGCAGCCTCGGAAGCAGCGAGGGCTCTGCCCAGGGCATGTGCGCCTCTGCTGCACAAAGCTGCCTCAGACAGCATCAGGAGCTGCGGTCCCAATGGTGCTGTTCTCCAGGGAAGTGCACTTGGGAGTGCAGAGCGCCCGCTCTGCCTGCTGCCGGAGGTGTGGGAGCCTCAGCACAGAATGGCTTAGAACAAGTGCCCCTTGTCCTGGCTTACCCAGGGTTTTGCAGCATTTAGCCAGCCGGAGGAGGGCTGGATTTCTGCCTCGCGGTTCGGTGTTTCCTCCCGCGGTGTTCTCCGTGCTGCTGCTGGGGCTCGCCTGCCGCCCATGCACAGCTGAGCCTGCGGAACCCGGCACCAGCCCTCAGAGCAGCCGCAGCCTCCTGCAGCACCGTGGGGCTCATGACAGTGTGCCTGGGGAAGGGCTTGCTTTCAGTCCTCACGGCTATGAAATACAGCTTGTCTAACTGCCAGCAGCAAGTCAAAAAAAACCAACCCAAACAACCCAGCTCTAGAGTTTTACTAGCCCTTATTTGCTGCTCTTGGTATTTTATTTCCTCTTGGAAATGAATTTTTTTTTCCCCATGCTTAGTGAAAATGCATTTCTGCTACAGTGTCTGTGTTTTAAATATGAAGCATTAAATGAATCGTTCTATGCTATCAGCATGAAATTCACCACACTTCTTTACTCTTTGATGAAGATAAATGGGTTTGTTTGTTGGGCAATTTTATCAATTTCCCTTCAAGAGTTTCCTCAGAACCTGCTGCTCACTCCCTGACGATTGCCTGTCTAAACTTCAGGAAGTATAATTGACAAACTCTTACAGCTTTCAGTTTTTCTGGTGGTTCAAAGAAAAAATTGTGTATTTTCTGTTGAAATCAAGAAGTAATCTTGCTGTAAGAGGTCAGTGATTTTTTTTTTTTTTGAGCCTTGCAGTTTGCTTTCTGGTCATGCATTATATTTAAAATTGGTTCAAGTTGATTAGGCAATGAAGTCTAAGTTTGCAAGAGATGAATCTTTCTTGATAACTTGGATTGATCTAGGAGATTTAGGGGCTTGTGCTAATTGTATCTCAGTTAATTATCTGGAAGTCACATTCCACCATGACAGTGTATCAAGTGAATCAGCCCTAGTTGCAAGTTTGTTCTGTGAATCTGGAACAAGCCCTTTTTTGCACCTAAGTCCTGTATGTCCTTAGCAGTGAGACTGAAAGAAAAGAATTTTCCTGCAAAAAAAAAAAAAAAATTAAGTGTTCTCAACAGACCAAATTTTTTTACAAGATGTGAACGTTTTTAAAAGGAATTTTTAAGGGAAAAAAATTTTGAAAATGCGTGTCAGGTGTCTGCTACAAAGTGTTAGAGAAAACAAAAGGTGCCATTAAAAGACTTTGTGAATATGATATTTTTGAACTCAAAAGACTTAGAGCACCTAGTTTTGCAGTTCTAAACCTATTCAACTATTCTGATAGCATTTTTGCTGAAGCTGAATTTAAAACTCTTGAAACTCTGAGTGAGGTTTAGGGCATGTGGCAGTCTTAATATAATTCCCAAAAGGGTCGATTTGGATTTTGTAGGTGAAAAGTGGTAAAATTCATAAAGGCTTCTTGTGTAAGTATTTTAAATCAATTTCTGCCACATGAAGATTGTGTGTCACTGCCCTGGTGCTCTCTGCTTGTGTTACCAGGAAGGAAGGGAGCTGGAGCCTGGTGCAGGGCCAGCTCTGTTCTCACATTCACAAGAAAGCCTCAAATTCTGGTGTAAATTGTAACATTGCTTTTTCTTCCTGAGCAGGTGTGAAAGTAAAGAGCTGGATGTTGAAATAAGGAACCTGATAGGGAAGAGCAACGCTTTGGAGTCGTGTGAGGACCCCAAACCTCTTGCCCAAGAGAGGCTGAGCCCTCAGAGAACTTCGTGTTCCCTTAAGGTAATCACAGTGTGCTTTTGCAATGTTTATCTGCCAGGAAAGAACGTTCAGGGGATGTTCTCTGCCGGGCTTGACTATGCATGAAACTTCAGGATTTTTGAAATGATGCAATGAACTTGCTGCACATTTTTTTTCCCTGACGTAGCTACTTTTTGGTATGAGGAAGAGTGACTGAGAAGGTGCATTTTATAGTGCTTTAAAAGGTCAGCTAAACCCACTGGTTATTATCCTAAGTGTCAAACCCTATAGCCAGATGTACCTTTTGGATAACACAGCTCCGTGGAACTGTGTAACCCCCAAAACACTGTCATTTTTGATGCATTTGGATGTTCTGATTTAGCTGGGAATGAGCAGAGGTGTGGGAGACACAGACCTGTGGAAGAGTCAGAAAGGCTTTCAGATCAATAGGAAGAGAGGAGAAGGAAGATGATGATGATTCAAACCCACACTTCTGTGGTATTGCAAACAGAAAATCGTAAGCCACCTGCTAAGGCAATTGTCTTTGCCTGCAGTGAAGCCGTGGTTAACAAGCCTGACAGAAACTTGTTCTGGGTTTCCCTCTCAGTTTCGCTCCTCTCCCCTGAATAGAAGGCATTTCCCCGTTTTCCACAAACTAGGAGCAGGAGGAGGGAGGGCTGCAGACGGGAGGAGTGATTAAACCGTGAATGATCCACCTGCAAGGGATGGCGCTCTTACCTGTGTCACTGCGGCGCGGGATGGGGAAAGGAGCGCTCTGAGGGCTGCACGCCGAGGCACGGTGCAGGAAATTGGTGAGGAGCTAAAAGGGAGATGACTCTCTTCTACGAAATCCGAAATTACACCCGGCTCCTTTCACATGCAAACCGCCATCTCCAGAATGACTCATGACCTCGGGGCACGGAGCTGAGCCAGCCTGAGGAGACGCCGCAGGGTCAGACCGGTGGGATTAGAAACCAGTGGGGGAGAGGGAACCACAGGGAGGGATGGGGATTCCCGGAGGCGGGGGAGAAACGAGTCTGGCGAAGCACAAGTCAGGGCAGAATCAGGCTGTGAAATTACAAGCCACAAATGATCCATGGAAATCCACATGTTAGCCTCTCTCCAGCAGAAGGAGACATAGGAAAGGATTTGGGGGATATGGGGATATGGGCGATGTGAGGAGGAAAGAGAAAGGATGTGCTCACCTGTACGCTTTCTGAGGAGTGCTGCAGTGCTTCACACAGGAGACAGTGGCAGTATTTAATCTGTGGTGCTTTTACACTCTTTGCATTTATGGCACTTCTTACCTTTGAAATGCATGTGTGAGGTTTTCAGAGCTTAAAGAGGGATACTTCGTAATATTTCTGCACTAGACACATGCTGGCTGGTTTTTATTTACATTGCTAAGTCAAAACTTTTCACTTGGCTGGTTATTGAGCTGGGATTCAAGTGAGTGACAGCTTGACAGTCTCGCTGAGCTTCAACAACCTCAGTGTAAGGTGCTAGGAGTACCTGTCTTGGATTGTGTTTTGGGAAAGGAGGGCAAATTTTTAACACCTAGTAGAATTTGTGAAGATTATGAAATAATACTAAAAGAACCTCACACCAGAAAATAGCAGTTTGGGAAATGAGGCTGATTGGCACTTGAAATGAGGGACAAATGAAATGCTCAAGAGTTAAGAAAAAGTTAATAATGAAACGAAAGTGTACCCTTCCCTAAGTGTCAGTCATTCATCAGGAAGTTATTTGTCAAAGATCATTTTCATTCTGTAACATTTTTTCTGGAGTGAAGAGTACAAGTTGCACTCTGCAGAATGGCATTTCCAGCTGACCTTAAATCACTTTCAAGACAAATCTATAAGTATCTTAAACAAATTCCCCTTTTTGCCAGGATTTTTTTCCATAAGAATTTATGAACTTCTCAGCACGTCCTGCAATCTATGATTCCTTCAGTTGCAGCTTGTCCTGAAGCTGCATTCTCCATTCCAGGAAAGGGAATAGATTTGCATTTTTTAGATTGGCAAATTGTCATCCAATTCTTTTCACGTGGAACTTGGGTTTTCATCAGCAGGCCTGAGTTTGCAAATGCTTAGGTACTTGAGAGGCCTTGCCCTTATGGTTAGTGGGTAAAGGAAATCCTGAAGCAGAAGCCTGTGCTCAAATATTTTGGTTTACTCTGAAAACATGTGTTGCTCTAATTTTATCTAGTTCCCACATATTAAGACACAAATTTGCATCTGCACCTATTTTTCTGTCAGAGGGAACATGTAACTGAGCAGCACAAAAGGCTGAGGCTGACACACTTACTGAAGGCAAAATCCCTTTTTAGCACACCTCTCTGGTGAGCCACAGGGGCCAGGCTGGGGCAGGAGGAGGCAGATTCTTCTTCTGGGTCAAGAGCCAATTTCATTCTTCAGCTAAAATCTCTCATTTTTTACCATTTTGCCACATGCGTCAGAATGGTAAAATGGATATTGTGGCAAACACTGCTGGCATAACAGCTTCAGTAATAAAGCCAAAAACAGAGCTCAGCTGAAACATAAGCAAAGTGAAGGCTCCTGAAAAGCCACCAAATTTTAACCCAAGTCATCTCAGAGTTAATCTAGCTTCTACCAGTCTTTAACAGAACAATAAATTAAAAAAAAATTATAATCAAAGAAAATCCCAAACAAACCACACAGCAGATGCATGACCAGCTAGGAAAAAAATTACTTTGTCATTTTGTATGATTTTATCATCATCAAGTAAAGCCTCACATTTGATTGCATCAGGCCTTTTAGTGAGTCTTGGTTTCACTGCAGTTACTGAACAGACAGAATTTTCAGAAGTGAGAAATGGTTTACATTAATGTGAATTTGAGTGATATTTTGTAATACTGTGACACAAGTTGTTCCCAGAATCAAGATCCAGCACTCTGAAAATGAGAACTTTTATCATCTTCTGGTGCTGAGGCTTGTGAGAGGGTTCAGTGCTGGCCACAGCTGCAAGGCTCTGATTTTTCTCCCACTGCAAGCTTCCCAAAGATGCCTAAAAGGCATTTATGCTCAAGAAGCTCAGGTCATCCTAGAATACAAACTAAAATATTTTTCATTTTTTAGCAGGACGTGAAAAGAAAACAAAACAACAATCTCAAAGCTGCTACTAATAGAAATTATAGATTATCCTGGAAATAAAATAGAAATTAATAAGAGGCTTCTAAGTTGTTTTAAGATGCCACTTGGGAGTGAACTTAGGAAGTGTGAGGGGCAGCAAATTTTCCTATTTGCTTTCTGAGCAGCTTTTTCCTTACCTGACGGTATTTTTTAGATTTGTAACTGCATTTACAGTCTGATTGTCAACTGGTATTTTCCAAGCAATTTGAAACTGATTGTTTTGTTCAATAGCTTTAAACCAAGTATAAATGCTTTTAAAGATTTATGGGGCTTTTTGAATTCTGAAACCTGATAGGTCTCCAAGTGTCCTTCTTTCAAGGATTTCTGTATATCTCAGGTGTCTGCAGTGCTGTTTTACAACCAAGTTTTTCTTGATAGCAGTAAACATAAAGAAATGTAGTGTCTTTATCACTGCAATATCAATGAAAATGAATGCTGCCATCTCCTTCTCTTTCTTTTTGGTGCTATTAACTGTTTTCACAGAGACAGGCAATGATTTTGCTTCAGCCTCCCAGTTTTTGCAGGAAGAATACCACCACCTCTAAAGAGCTTGAGTTTTTCTTCCCTACTTTTGCCATTTCTTCTATTCATACGGATCTCGGGCATACTCTTCTCTCTCCAATCTGTTTTTACATGGCAAACAATTATACCTATGAATGCTGAGCTGGATGAGACAGGCACGGAAAAGTACTTGAGTCTTAGTTCTGTTCTGTCCAGTTTTATGTAAAATCATTCATTTTATTGTGATTATGATGTAAATCATCTGCATTATTGCAGTCATGAAGGACAAGAACTTAGTGTTCTAATGTCCAGGTAGCTTTCCAGGAAACTGCTCAGCTCTCCAGGAAACTGTTGTGACCTAAGCTACAGAATCAACCAAGGTCTCAGCCTCATCCTCTCTTCAAAGTAATTTGAGCATTAATATCTTTCAAGTGGGAGCTGTCATTCACGAGTGGGGCTGAGCCCTGGGTTTGCCCCTCTGTCCCCACTGTGGGGATGCTCGGCGCCTCGCTCACCACACCCCAGCGTGCTCGTGTGAGGAAACCAGAAACTGGGGCTGCCTCCCCTTGCAGGCCAGACCTTAAAATGCAGCTGTTCAGCCTGAGCTTTCTCCAAAAGTGAACTTGCTGCTGGAGAGGGGATGAGACTGGTGAGAGTGGGAGCTTGGGGGAGGGGCAGCATCATCATCCTCAAGAGCAGATGTGCAGTGTGGAACGTTTGGGATTTTAATTTTATTAAGCAGATGCCCAGTGTTGGTGCTGTTCTGCACCAGTTAATAGTCTTCAGTGCTGTAGCTGATATGCTCAATGTCTAGTTTCGATATAGGTACAGATGAAACTCTTCCAATTTCTTCACTAAAATAACCTTTGGTTTTGAATTTTTCTCTTCATTCACCACAAGTTTTCTGTCTTCTCCATAAACCAGGAGAAAAATGGAAAGAACCTCAGGGTAACAGGACATATTTCATATGCAAATATTATAAAATAGTAGCTTTCTTCCAAATTGGGGTTTGTATCTTGCAAAAGAGGAGTTGCTTAGTCACGCATTGTGAACCAGAGATCTGGCATGTGGCTGAAAAATTTCAGCATGTCACAGGATTGCTTTACTTTCTCTAAATCTGTTTTTGGAATTTGAAAGAGGGGTTTCTATTATTTTATGTCAAATTTCACAGGCAGACTTTCATTTCATTCCTTCAAAAGGAAATGAGCAACCTCTGCTGCTGCTGCAGAAGCCATAGACCCAGAGATCTTTCCCCAATAGGAAGCAGAATTTTTCTTTTATGCTTCCCTCTGAAATCCGTTATTATTCATAAATCCAAGACTGAAGACGAGAACATTTTGTACTTTTCTGTTTCATTCTGGCTTTGATAGCAAGTCTGCGGAAGCCTTTTCTTTGTTAATCTTTTCTGTGAGTTTAACTTGGTAAGGCTAACATCTTCCTCCAAGTGGGAACCTGAGGCACAGGTTTGGGGTGGTGGCTGCCTTTGAGTACCCAAGTCTTGAGTGTCTTTAAGCTGGATCCGTGCTCAGGTAAAGCAAGTGGCTGAAGTGCAAATAAAACATCTGTCATTCTTCATCTGTGTGCAGCTTTTCTTTGGGGAAACAAATCAATTTTCCAGTGTTGGTTTTCCCCTCAACATCTTGGGGTTTTTGTATGGGGGTGCTTTTCCCTGTAGCTGTTAACAGACTTTGCTATTGCTCCTTTAGAAGCATGACTCACTCATTTTTCTCTTCTGATAGTTCACTCTTAGTGTCAATAATTGCTGTAATTACCGAAGTCCTTTTTTATAACTGGAAGCAGGGATAGAAAATCCTGTCCTCTTATTTACTGAAAAAGCAAATACCCTTCCTTCCCTTAGATGCAACTTCCTCTCTGGGGGGAACTGGCCAGGCAATTGTGATTTCCATGCACACAAAGCTGAGAGCTGCCTTGCCTGGCACATTAGTCATAGGCATTGTGCTTCATCCATTCTGGGAAGCCCCAGCCAGGAAGGAGGAAAAGGTTAAAATCAGAATTCCACCACTACTTTCTGGGCCGTGGCTGCTCCCACAGGCAGCCCTCCTGGATCTTCTGGGTCTGAAAGAAATTCTCTTGCTCTTTTAGCCAGCATAAAATCTGTTGCATTGCTCTTCTTCCTCCCAAGAGCCGCAGTGAAGGAAGCACTCCAGGCCAGCTTGGATGCACCTGGGCAGGTGGGAGTCACATGGAAGCTCCAGCAGAACCATTGCAGGTAAGTGGCTGTGCTGGCTGTTCTCTGAAGTGTTTTCTGACTAACAGGAGCGGGTCACTTTGTAGGTTGACAATTATGGTCTAATCTTTGTGCTCTACTAGATTTTTCTGAGTTATTTAAGCTGTGTAAGAGTGGATGGAAATGTTAGAATTATTTTTGCAAATAGCATTCTTAGAAGAAGCCCTTTCCTAATGTTTTTTTTTTGCCTTCTAGAAGTTGCACAGAGAGTGCAAAGTGGTTCATTTGAGTGACCCCATAACTACTGTGAGCAGTATTTGGGCTAGTTGGTGCCTAGTGTATGTGTAATTGTTAGATTTGTGAGTTGTCCTATTCACTTTATTGCTATTCCTAAACATGCTCTTCAATATATGCCTAAGGCCCAGATGCTGAAATCAATTCAGCATGGGAATAACTCCATTAGCTGCCAGGTATTTCTTCAGATACTCTAAATTAAACATGTCAGTGAGCTACAGGGAGAGGGATTAAATGTTTTCTGGCTTGGAAGTCAAGGGCTCCACATCAAGAGTTCAGCAGGACTGGCCATGGGGCAAATATGTGGTTGGGATTTTTGCCTTTGAAAAGACACAGCAATACTGTCCTTTGATCTTCATTGGTATTTAGCATTAAATTCTGTATCTACAGAAAATTTATTCCAGACCTCAGAATTGGTCACACCATTATTCTTGTTTTTCATACAGTGGTTGAGAATTTAGGGAGGGAAACAAAAATCCCGGAGCATGTATCTGACCAAAGCTTGTTCTGTTTTTATGAGGTTGTCTCTTTTTTTCCAGTACAGCTCTCTCTCTCTCTTGCTAATAGATCACATGTTTGTTTTCATGATAATCCATAGAAACTTCTTGGAAATTATGATATAGAACACTGCCATTATAAAAATGAGGGTCTAGCTTCTGCTGTCCTGCTTGGGTGAAACGCCACATTTTAAAAAAAATGGAACAATTGCAGACTGATCTACTGAATTTCTCCAAATGGCCTATTTGTTTTCTGTGTTGCTTGCAAGCACTTACCAGGGGCAATCCTGCTAATTATTCTAGTTCTTGTAAATGAGGGGAATTACTTACACCCTCTCCAAGTCATGCTCAACTTTTGTGGCTTGTACTACTTGTTTGTATCGCCATCTGCAAGATAATTAAAATCCTCTTCTGTGTTCTGTGTCTCAGATGGTACAAATAGATACAATTTCAGTTATTTCAGTGGCTATTTGCATAATGCTTCAATTAAAACACAACCTGAGTGGGTTTAAAGCAGATGTATGCTCCAGGATCAGCTGCCAGCAGGTGTGAAGGAATTTAGATACAAATTTGGTCTAAGAAAATGTTTGTATCAGTTTCTTTATGTGCACCTGTCAGGGTGGATGGGAACCTTACATGAGAATCTTGAAGAGAACAGGCCAGAAGCATTAATATTTGAACACTGCTTTTCTCCAGTCAAGGCACACGTTACTGAGCAAAAAGAAGCCTTTATCATCCAATTCTCCAGAGCAACAGATCCTCACACTGGAAAGACAGAGACGAGAGGTAATCCTAAATATTCCCTAAAGCACATGGTGACTGATTGTACCATGCCTATGGATCTGGAAGGGCAGAGGTTTATTTAGTACAAAGGGCAAATTTTATTAATGACCCTTGTTGCTAAAGGCCAAGGAATGACAAGCAGGGTTTGCACTCAGTAGGAGTCTTCCATTCCTTTGTTTGAAGTCAAAGACCTTTTAATGGGAAATATGTTCATGGAACCTGTAGAAAACTACCAGGAAAGAAGCCCTTGGCCATTTAGGATTTGAAGCTTGGGATTTGTGCAGTGTTGCACATGATCCACCTGCAGCTTGTTGTGGATTTGCATCTTTCCTGAGTGCTGCTTCCTGAATGTTCGTGTGCTTTAACCGAAATACCAAAGCACTGGCAGATGGGCTGCAAGGCTTGCCAAACCTTCAACTTGCTTCTTCTGAAATAAATGAACTGGCCAGATGATGAGGAGGTTGGGAACACTCACTGACAGAGGATTAGAATTCCAGTCTGGTTTTGATTTACTGAAAATGTTGAAATAAGTGTTATTTACTGTGCCTTCCTGGTAATTACAGCTTTTGGAGGTGAACAAGCAATGGGATCATCAATTTAGAAGTATGAAACAGCTTTATGAAAAGCAGGTAACAATGCTGACAACTTCTGTTGCAATGTGTGCCACCTGCTGACAGTTAAGTCTGTGTTTAAATACCAGCCGACCATAGCCATGGTAAATATCTTACTTTGTCTTGAGCTCACAAACTGAAAAAGCTTCATCACATAAAAGCGAAGCCAAAGTGTGTCAGTCTTCATAGGACAAACTAACCAGAGAAGCAAAATGTCCCTAAAATTGTAGGGTCAGTGGGCACATGACAGCAGAGATCTTCATGCCCTCCACACTGTAGTGAAAATTGCACATAACTGAGAGCACAATTAACTGAAAATCAGCCTGGTGTGCTCAGCTCCTGATCCACATCATCACACTTATGCTGGTTCTTGTCCCATCTCTTGTGAAATCTGGATAAATTCTCCATGAAAGTTGCCCTCTGTAAGCAGAGACTCTCAAAATGAATTGTAAAGAAATATTTTAATTTCTGGTTTTTTTCCATCCAAGATCCAATTGACATAGCTGTTATTCCTTGCTTATGGCTGTGTGGTGTCATTGCTGCAGACATTATCATTAGCTGCCTAGTGAAGTTCAGTGCTTACAATTTTATCTGATATTCTAGAACCCAAGTTGGTTCATTGACTGACACTTCTCATCTACTGTTTCCTGCTATGAACAGGAAGTTTATAGAGTGAATTCATGTGCTTATCAGGAAAATTTTCTCTCTAATATTTTCCAGAAAGCTTTACTGAGATCTGAATAATTCCTTTCCTTTTTCCCCCAAAGAGAAGAGCAATCCAAATGGCTCTTCCTCATTTAATCTGGAACTGTTTTATGCCTCTGGCTCAACACCCTGAGGGTGCTGTGCCTTCCAGAGTGCCCAGTGAGCCCAGCATGGTGTGTCACTTGCTTTTCAGCTGGCAGAGATGAAGGCAAGGCTGGACGTGTCGGAGAGGAGAGTAAGCGAGCTGGAGCAGGAGAGGCACTGGCAGCATCCGGAGGAGGAGAGGTGGCAAGTGCTGGGCAGGGAGAGGCTGCTGCAGGAAAAGGTAGGAGGGTGCCCTGTGGCACCCCTTGTGTGCTCTATGCTGAGCTCTCTCTTGCCTTTGGTCTTTGTCCCCTTGTGTGGGTTGTGCACAGCCCAGAGGTGGGACTGTGGCTCCTCAATATCCTACCCAAGGCTGCTGAGCTGCCTCATCACAGAACTGTTTGTAGAGAAAGAGTCATTTCCATATGAGTGGCAGACAGCACAACATTGGTGTGTGTGTGGGGAGTCAAGGGCAGGTTGATTTCTACTGCACGGATTTCCCTCCTCACAGTTCAGTTCAGGATGAATTTCTGTGTGAAGGAAAATGCTGCAGGTATTTCAAATGGAAGAGGAACAGCAGTGCAGATGTTACACAAAGTGCTTGGCAAGAAATACTCAAGGTGTGAATGCAGCTCCAGCCCCCAGGTTTTGGTGTTGAGTACAGGCTCTCATACATGTGCAGCTGTCTCAGCTCCCTGCAAATATCACTGACACTGGCAGTGCAGTTATCAGGGCTGGAAGTGTCTGGGCTGATCAGCTGCTCCAGAGCGGTGTTCGCCTCACCCTCAGAGTGCTTGGGCTGCTCTCTCAGGACTCCTTGTGGGCTTTTGCTTCTCAATTTAGATCCCTGAGCTGGATTCCCACCTCAGTAATACCACCAGCCTGAATGATGAGCACCTACATAAAACCTTGTGCTCCATTTTAGAAACCCCACAGAGTGGTGCTTCCTGTGCTCATTCTGCTTCATGGTGTCATGTACTCCATGACCTCTGGTGAGAGTTGCTGGATGGTGACCATGGCTGAAGTTGGGCTTCTCTATTCACATGGTGACCTGAAACAAGTGGCAGTTGCATCACTTCCAGGCTCAGATCAGATGTGAGTTGGCTGCTGCAGGAAAAGAAATGCAACCCCCTTAGCTTACATCTGCAAAGGCAGAACATCCATCTTACTTGCTTATCAATTAGTCCCAGCTAAACACACTTGATTCCAGATCCACAGAACAATTTACATGTTTTAAGACAAACTATGTTACGTACTTGCTGAATCACTGCCTGTATTTGCTCTGAGTGTTAATTCAGTATGAGGCAGTCCATATTTTTGTTCATGTTACTGCCTGACTTTTAATGGAAAAGAGCTACCGTTTTATAAAAATGAGGATCAGTAGTACACTCTCTGAGATTTTTTACTGCATACATGAATAATGAACTAAATGACAATATAGTCCATTTTTTTTTTTGTGGGGACAGGTTAACCAGCATTGAACTTTCGTCTTAAATCTGCAATTTCTTGAAAGTTTCACATTCAGCCAGCAAGTGCTTGTCAGCTTGAGCTAGCTGCTGGATGAGTTCCTATACTTATTGCAGAGATACCCTGCTAATCTTGCCTGGTTTTTGGAGAAAGTGAAATGTCCTAGCTAACTTAGAGCACAACAGAGTCAAACTTCCTCATATGTAAGCAAGTTACATATGTGTTTTTCACTGGCTCAATTAGCACACAGTGATGAACTTCTGATGAGCCCAAACTGTGACTGGCTGCACAGAGATGAGCCTTTTACACAGGAAAAAAACCCCATTCCTGTGGTGTGCTGTGCCTGTGGTTGTTGGATCTCACATTTTTATTCACATAAAGCAGATGCAGAAAATATTTGAAATACTTTTCTTTTTTTCTGTTTCCATCTTCAAATTTGTATGGCAGTGGGAATGGGCTGGGCCCCCACCAGCATTTAGCCATGGTCTTATTCTCTCAGTAGAGAGAATAATTCTCTCATTTTCTCATAAGAGAAATGCAGGTCTGGGGTAACTGTGGGTGTGATTTTGATCTGCTTGGCCTGCCAGCATTCCCATGCCTTCGTGCAACTGCCGAGAGCAGGGATTTATTCTGGTATGTTGTCTCTGCCTCATCATATGGTGAGTGGGCAAAACAATTTCTACAGACTTTATCATATCAGGGTGTACTAATGATCTGCCTTCCTGCTGCCTCGCTTCCCAACTGTGTTTGGGACAACAAAAATGCAGCACATCTGTCAGACAGAAGATTATTTGGAAAATTGTTCTTGAAAAATGCTTCCATCTGCATTTCTGCAGCATCTCTCTGTATTTTTGCATCCCAGAAAGATACAGAGGTCCTTAGTGAAGCTCTCCATGAAATGAAGGAAGAGAACAGGCTCCTGAGGCAGAAGAATGCCTCAATGACCAGGAGGAAGGAATTCTATGAGAGTGAAATAAGTCGTCTCAACAAGGTAGGAGCAGGAGTGAGCTCTTGATTCCTCTAATTGTGGCATCTCTGTTGTCCATGACCTACCAGATAGCAGCTTTTCAGTTCTGGGTGAACAACCTGGTGGCAAACACATGATCACCATTTGGGAGCTGGGGAATGAGCAAGAACTCACTTCAGCTCAGACCTGTGCATGCAGGGTCTCCTTCCTTGGCTGCTAGCAGGGTTGCATTGCAAGGAGAGAAATTCACAGAGTATTTGGCTTCTCCTATGAAACCTCTCTGCATGTCATGTCTGAGCCCTTCCTACACCCTCCCTCCTCAGAGCAGAGGAAATGGCAGAAAGATGCTCCTGTATGCACCTAGTGAAAGACTCTGGTTGAAAAGAAAGGTCACACAGCTTAAAAACTCATTTTACATGTGTTCTGTGTTTGAGAAGGATGGCTTCTCTTCAGAAGACATAGTCCTGTCCTAGTGCTTAAATCCATATATACGCATATTCATACCTATAATATTATGTGTATATATGTCTCACTGAGGAAATTGTCTTTAAATAGCTACATGGAATTATTTTTTTTAACTGAGGAAAAGTAATAAATGTAATTTTGTTTAATCAAAAGATCACATAAAGCAGTGGGTGTTTTCTAACAATTTTGTATTTAATGGTGAACCACAAACGCTTCCTGAGGAAATGCATTGCAGTAACCATTGCTATGTAACTTGAATAAGTGTTTTAATAAGCTAAAGGGCCATGATGTGCAAAAGTCAAGCCAAAAACATAATGCTGCCGTAAGAAAAAATCTGACAAAACCCATGATCCATAGATCTTTTGGAAATGCATTGACAGGACTTGCTCAAAGCTCCAGTCTAACTTTAATTCAATGCCTTGTTTGTTAAACAACTTATTTAAATGTTTTATTTTGCTGTGTTATGATGTGGCTATAATAAGACAGATGGGGTGTATAGACCCATTCATTCTTTGAAATGAAACATCAATTTCATATACACTTTCCAACAGTAATTTACTGATTTTTCAGTGCATTTGCATCCTTAAAATCTCATGTCATGAATGTAGATGAGACGGGAAGGCACCCTCTGTGCCCTTTTAACTTGATTCTCCTGCTATCTCAGGTTCAGCCACTTGACATTCTTACAAATTCTCTGCAATCAAACAACTTTTTCTTCTTTTTGTGTGAATGGATAAAGCAGGGTCTCACAGTATTGTGTCCAAATGCAGTTTAGGAATAATCTTCACCTTACCATTAACTTTCTGAAGATTGATTTTCCAGATTTTTCCTTTTTTTCCCCTCCATAATTCTGAGTTGTAGAACCTCCTCAAAAAGGTGTTAAAAGGAGATTCAAAGGGACAGAAGAAGGGTTAATCAGTAATCAGTATTTTCACCCTCCCAGTTTTAGGTTCATCCTTCTGAATGTAATGGCATGGAACACAGGCTTTGCCACTATTATAACCAGTTTCACTTCTGCACAATTCTTAGGGACAGCACCTCATCAGATAAAAAGCTTTCCTTTTCTGTGCTTCCATGGAAAGTGTTGATTTTCCTTGGGCCTTGGGATAATTATTTCCAACCCTTGGATTACTTTGGATACTGGTTCTCCTGCTTGGCCAATTCTTCCCCGTTTGCCTCCTCCCCCTCCAAATATCTTCCATCCTTCCTGCTTGAGTCTGAGAGCAAGGGAGGGCTGAGGATCCATCAACGTGAATTCAGCTTCTAAAAGGGTAAACTTGTGAAAGGGATAAAGTCAGGGATTTGTATTTTATGTGAGGGAATGAAAAGAACTGCCTAGTATTTGTGCTTGAGTAAAGAAAATAATATATAATTATAATGTGTGGTTATAAACAGAGAGATGTAGGAGTCATTTAATTATTCCAGTTAAAGGGAGAGCTGTGTAGTACTGTAAAAATAAAGTCTGAGAAGAACCTTGGCAGGAGTGGTACCAGCGTTGTGTGTATTCGCAACTCCCTCTAGTGACAAGCTATGGAGACGACACATCTTCCTCTCAAGCTGGAGATTTTACTTTGTTCCATGTGTAGGAATCCCTACTTTTAGTGAAAAAAAGCCGTTTCAGTCAGATTTTACTGTAGTAAAGTGGGTTTATATCCAGTGTGTATAATTGAAGCAACTACAAGCGAAAGGGAAACCTCTTCCTAATAATTTTAAAGGATATTCTTTTCTTTTTCATGTAGTGAATCTCTGTTTAGTAATTTTTGATGTTGCAGGCCCTGCTGGATACGTTGAAAAAGCAGCACCCACCTGTTGTTGGGACTCCTCCAGGGAAGGGTGACAGGAACAGCATCGAGGAGATGAGAACCCAACTTGAAGTTCTTAAACAGCAGGTAAGAACAGCTCAAGTGAGCCTGGATGGATTTCACACAGGATAATTTTCCCTTCTCTCCCAGGGGTTGTGCTTGGTAGACTTGCTGTGTGGAGTTTCTGAAAGGAAGAGCCAGTTTAGCCACAGCCCTTTGGAATGATGTTTCCACAGATGCTGTCATCACAGCAGAGTCCACAAAGTGAAACTGAGTCCTGGCAGAGGAGCAAGGGCTTGTGGAGGACTCAAAGCAGCAAAATGGCTCTCCTGACTCCTAGAGGTGTCCAGCTCTCTGTTAGAGTCTGAATGTCATCCACAGGGAATGCTAATTCTCATTAATTCCTGATTGTGTTTTCTGATCCTTTTATGTTAGAAGTTGCCACTGTAGAGAATTACCCAAAGATCCTAGTCTTGGAAGACTAGAGCATTGGCACTGCAGTTTTTCTAAGTGTGAAGCAAACCATTTGCATTCATAACCTGCATCCCAAGGACTATAGATTTGTATCTATTTATTTTTTAATCTTTGTTCTGAGCAACTCAAATGCTTTGTGCACTGTTTTTCTTTCCATATGAGAGAATGTGTTTAAAAACAATATAGTTTTCAGATGATTTTAACACTTCAGGTCTGTTGTCCTGGATAGTGTCAGGGTTAATATTATTGACACACAAATGGATGTGATCAGAATTGGAATTTTACTCAATGGGAATAAAATACTTGTTTCTGTCACGTTTGACAGCATAGCCAGATTTTGCTCTCTAATGTAATGCTTGCCACATGCTGGAGAACAAAATCCTGCACTTGATTGTACAGTAATGAGTTATTTCATTCTACACAATAGAGTAAACCAGGTTTTTTTTTTCCAAAATTCTCATGGGGTATCCATTTTATGAATATGTTTTTCTAGTTGTATAAATCAGTACAGTGAGTCCAGACTTCCTTCTATATGAAATGGAGCAGAAGGTTCCAACTGGATGGAGGAGGGATTCCTGGAACAAAGAGTGACGTGACAGAGTCCCACAGGAGCTTGGCTGTCATCAGCCCATCCCTGGTCACAGCAGTGGGAATGAAGGCATTCATTCCTTGGGAGGTGTCCCCTCTTTCTCAGGGCAACAGGATAAATGGCAAAACTGTGCCAAAGAGGTTCCCTTGCAGCTCCAGTAGATTGTACAGCTGGGGAGTGGGAGGGAGGTGGGACAGTAGAGAAGGAATTGGGAGAAAAGAAGTGAAGAAACACTGAGAAGTGTGTAGATGGACAAGGAATGCAAGGATGCAAAGATTTCTGCAAGTGACAGTTTTGTCTCTGCTTCAGAGGGTCAGGAAAAGAATTTTTTCTTCATATAAAGCCCTGTGGTGACCTTTTTCTTCCCCTGAGGTATGAACATTTTTCTAGTCCTTCTGTGAAGTCATAGCACTGCTTCCAGCACAGAGAAAACTAGATCTGTCCAAGGGGCAGGGCATGAGCCACAGCAAGCAAGTTTTTTGGGAAGAGACTGTCAGCAGGCTTTAGTGAGCAACCAAGGGGACATGAAAAGGCTTCTGAAAGTTCTGGTGGTGGTTCCCACCCAAACATGCCTTTGCTGTTGTTTGTCAGTAGAAGTGCCACCAACCTCCAGCTTCTTACCAGGTGGATGCCTGCCCATTAGCTGAAGAATTAAGTCAGTCATCTCAACACCAAATAATTTATGGATTTGTGTTTTGTTTCCAAATCTGTGTGCTCACTGCCTGTGCCTAGGGTGGTCAGATATTTTTTTAATGGGATGAAGCTCTGTGATTCCTGACCACATAAAAAAGAGCTAAGCCACTGCATCCTTCAGCATTTGCAAGGCAGCTTATTTTCTAGGAACAGGGTCAAACATCTGTATTTCCACTGGGAATTGTGTACATTCCATTCCATTTGGAATTCTGTACATTATGCTCCCCTCTGCCTCTACACTGAGCTGGGAAAGTTCTTCTCTAACTCCTTGCACCTGAGATATACAGGAGGGAGTTGAAAGTGCCCATAAGTGAAGAGGAAACTGGAAAAATGTTGGTGAAATGTTTGTCTTCCTACTGCTAATCCCTTAAAAAGATGGATACTAGTATTTGCTATCTCGTTTATAATATTTGAGACTGATATTTGCCAGTCAGCTTTTTGAGTGCAAGGTTGTACAAAAACTGGCACTGGGGACTGTTTCAGTTTTCAATTTCTGTTTCAATTGATGAGTGCCACTAGAGCATGGCCATTGCTTGTCACTTTGTACCAGCCACAAAAAAAAGACCAGGGAAACTTCTGTTTGGAGGATTGTAGGGAGCAGGGATCCCCTTGGAATTCACCCTTCTGCTTGGGCAGGGTTTAGAAAGCAACCCAACCACAAAGTGGCCCTGCTGAAGGTCACACACTGTTCATGATGATTGCAGGTCCAAATATATGAGGAGGACTTCAGGAAGGAGAGATCTGACCGAGAGAGGCTTAATGAGGAGAAAGAAGCACTGCAGAAAATTAATGAGAGATTGCAATCTCAACTGAGTAAACTCAGCTCTCAGGTATGAGTCAAAAGAAAGCTCCCATTGCCAGCACATATGTATTTTATTTTTTTTTTCTCACTTTCCACACAACTCAAGGTTTTCTGGCTTCCATTAATTGACATTGGATTTTATATGAGGTCACCACCTGGGATGAAATCATTCTGAAGTAATGCAGTAAGAAGACGAGAAACTATTAGAGAAGACTTCCAAAATAAGTAGATGAAGGGAGTACTTATTGCAAAAACTTTTCAAACATATCTGAAAATGGAGGAGGGGGAGGGTAGCCACAACCAAAAACAAGTCCAGAGGACTTTGATTTTTTCACTGGCACTTGATATAAGAGCTCTAAGATCAAACCAACTTTTGAAATAAAGAGCTTCTGTAGTTAATCCTGACCTCTGCAATTGAATTACAGAGTGATGTTAATATCACTGAGGAAGAAAATGCTCTCCATACAAATTAGCTGAGCAGCCTCTGCAATAATTTTTTTTCTTGCAACATCCTTTTTATCTCTTCAAAGTAGTATCAGTAGGAAGCCATAGTAAAATCATGGCATGCAAAACTCTGAGCTTTCACAATCCCCATTTAAGAATGACGAAATTCCGAGTTTTCCTGTCTTGACAAAATTGTGCAATGCTTTAAAAGAACGGCTGATTGCCAAAATGCTCTGTGGTGATTTATTGTCCTCCCCAACATTGTTGTGACACAGAAACTTCAGGATTGCCTTATTCTCAGCCAAGCCATGCTTCAGAAGTGGTAGGGTCTTGCTCGAGTGGCAGAGGCCAGGTGCTGCCCAGTGCACCAGCAGTTCACACTGGAGATCTTCCGGTTTGCTTCTTCCTGCCTCGGGATTTGATTAAACAGAGCTTGTGGAGGATTTTAAAGATGAGAGCAAGCATATAAAATATTTATTAGTTTGTCTTCTTAAGTCAAATTATTTACTTGTGACTCACAAAATCACAGAATATTAATCATCTTTTACCCCTCCTTACTGTGTCCTTAGGCAAATTGCTGTTGACTCTACTGGAATGCAGAGGGCCTTAGAAAAGGCAGACCCAAATCTGAGGCACGCAACTTTGGTCGTAAACCAAAATTATTTACTTATCTTATCATTCCAGTGACTGTCCATGTAGTTCTGCTTCAAACTATTGAAAGCAACTATGTGTAATGAAAATACAGAATAGTTTTTGAATATAAAAGACACAGTAATGTGCTTGCCATATCTTGGGGTCAATATTTTCCTCACATAAAAGGTGTCAAGACTGTGGTGTGGCCCAAGTCAGCTGTCTTAAGTAACTTTTTTAATGATAAGTAGTATGAAGGGTCTAAACAAGCAGCGTTGCAATCCACTTGTACCTGAATGATGTGTTGATTATATTCTACTGCTAATGCATTTATTCTTGTTCTTCTTTTCTTGACAGGCAAAAGACTTCCCCGTGCAGCCTGAGAGGCCCAGTTACCCAGCCCCACTGTTCCTGTCCCCGTGTGTCAGTTATGGGGGCTGTGGGATGGTTCTTCACTGTCCAGATCCTCGGGCACACCCAGTGTCTCGCAGGGCCCAGCAGCAGCAGCAGGGCTTGGTAAGGCTCCCACCATCCCCTGTGGGACAGGGACACTGATTTCCTCACAGGTGCCATCACCCTGCCATCCTCAGCAGCAGCTGAATCTGTGCTTTCCTAGTGTGGTGTTTTGTCCAGATCAAGATTGAATTCACTTTGAAAATACTCTTTATCTGTAACAGCACTAAGAAGAACAACGGAGCTCCTTTACATTTGTTTGTTAATTTAAAAAATAAGGTTGTTTGATTGGAGTCTTGCTGATTTCTTAGATTAATTTATTCCCATGACAGACATTCAGAGCTCTTTCTAGCTGTATAATTACCCCACTTCAGAGGTAGGGATCTGCTCTGAGCCTTCAACATAAGGTAATAAAAACCAAATCAGGAGAAGTGGAAGTTTTGTCTGAGTGTGGCTAACACAATGGGAAATGCGCCTTTTTTCCTGGAACACAACAGGGTCCTGTCTTCCTCAGCATGAAGAAGAATAGCTTTGCACTGGAGCAGGTTCTGTGAGTGGGAGTTATTTATTCCAAGGAAAATACTGCTTCAAAGAATATTTTTGATGTGCATTGGGTTATCTAAGTGACCTGGCTTGTTCCAATCTACTGAGAATGCATTTAAACATGGTGAATGTCATTTTAAATACACAGTATCTGATTCTGGCTATAAAGCTGTCACATATGGAAAGATGCTCATTATTTGAAAAATTATAGCTGAATTTTTGCAAAATGCATGTAAGGCTTTCAGGCTGTAGAAATCCAGTGGAAAAGCTGTGGTCAGACAAGTAATTTCTGTGCTTCAGGAGTGTGCTTATCTGCCTATTTATCAAAGTTGGAAGTATTGCAGAATGTTTTTCCCTGCAATTTGGCCACTGGCCCAGATTATTTTGGCTCTTCTCCCTGAACTTTCATCATCTGGGTTTCTAATTCTATGAGGGATCACTGGGTTTACAACTTTGTCATTCCTGCCGGAGCGCCGGTGTCAGTCTGACTGGTTGCTTTGTAACTCCCAGTTTCATTCTGACCCTTTTTTTTCGATTCTTTGCCTGTGTGAGTTGCTGCTCTGAGCTTTGGGTACCTCCCTGAGCAATTTGTTAGCAATGAGGAAAGGTGTTAGAATTCAATGGGTGTCCTGATATGTAATCCTGCATGTTTAGGCTGTGCTTTTGCTTTTTCCTTCTTTTTCTGTTCTTGCACTTTTTCCTTCCTTTTTAAACTCTGGTAGAAACATTTTGGTTAGTCTGATGTAAAATACACATCTTGTTCTTGAAATTAATTCAGATTTGCAGGGTACAGGTACATAAAAAGAGAATTGATCAGAGAACATAAAATTCACCAGAAACTCAAAAAAGCAATGCAAATGAGTGTAATTTGAGCCATTGTTGAAAAACTACCTGTGCTTAAAGCTTTGTATCAAGGTCTACTTTGTTTGCACACAAGCACAGAATTAGTTAATAATTCCTGTGACTGGTACAATTTAAATTGAAATACAATAGGTCCTTTTTTCCCTGACAGTGAATGAGGGTGATTACTGCTGTATAAGCATGAGTGACAGCAAAACATAAAAGTTAAATCTGTTTTCTCTATCTACAGCTTCATCCTGCCATCTTAATTCAGGCAAAACTTCTGTAGGAGTATATGAAATTTGCTCCCTGCAAATTGAAATCTGCTAGATTCCCCTTGGGGCTACTCAGTGATTTTGTCAGAGTAATTTCTGCAAAACAAGAATCATTTTTCCAGTGTAACTAATTTGAAGCAGCAATTACCTAGACTTTGACAAGCTTGCATGGACTACTTATTCCAGACAGACAGCCTAACACAGCTCCAGCTGAAATGGCTGGTCCCAAAGTTGTTTTCTCTAGTGGTAATTTGCTGCTCATTTGCCACAGTGGGTGGTGTAAACTATAATGCACTATTTCTTCCAAGATTTCCCTGGACAAAACCGTGTCTGCATGGACATAACCTTCCCAGTACTTCCTCTTATGAGAAAGATGGGAATTTTCCCTATCCCACGGTGTTTTCAGGAAGTTATTTGATAATAGCTAATGCTATAGAAACAGCAGTTCTAACCTGTGAGCAAAGGGAGGAGGGGAGAGAACTTTATTCCATGGTTCATTCCTGTCACACTGGAGCCTTTTACAGCTGCTACAGATGCATTCAAACTGGAGCTGCTTCACCTGTTAGGTGGGCCAGGTTTCTCTGGGGTTCTTTGGTGGAGGGAGATGCCTGCTGGTATCTTCTGCTGCACTGGATTCCTCAGCCCAGGAAGCAAGCTGGAAGACTGGGATTGGTAGAAACAAGCCTAAATACAAGATTTTGTTTTGAACTGCTTTTGTATGGCTAATGAGAGAGGCTTCACAGCACAATTATGCTTTTATCATGTCACTGTTCTTTTGTTTGAAGTGCCTGTGAAGTCCATATTGCTGCAATAATGTTTTATTGTTCTGTGCAGCCAGACTATCAGTGGTGTGTTCCTGACCAGCTTCCGCCAGATGTGCAGCACAAGGCAAATGGTAAGACAACAGCTGTACAGAGCATGTATTAAATGGACTTTTTTTTTTTTTTCAAATGGAGGCCTTTGAGGGATGTAGCGTAAACTTTCCTGTCTATCTGTTGAGTGCTGATGTGACAGCTTTGCCTTGGAGAGTCAAGGTTGGTGTCTGTGCACCCCAGGTGAGGTTTCTGATGTAATACCCTCTATGTTATAGCTTTGTTGCAATTCATAAAATGTCTCTATTACACATTTGCCTCATTAAACACCTAGTAATAGTCCTAAAGAAAAGATACCCTCAGAATTCTCCTTAGAGCTTCCGTTGCTCCAGCAAAGACTGAATTTAGTGATGTGCCAAAACAAGGGGCCAGCATGGGGCAAGTTTAGGAGTCCTTGGTAACAAAGTGCAGGCTTTAGGATGTTGTTTCACCTTAAAGACAGAATGCCCATTGCTGTTCCTGGTCTGTTCTGGTAGTTCAGGTGGTCTGAAAATAGAGCCATGGAAGTGAGCAGAGTTAAATACTTGCAAAGGGTCAGTACAAACTATTTTTTGGAAACAGGGAGGAGTAATATTTGTATCTGGCTTTGAAATAATTCCTGGGTGTTTTGAAGTACTTGTTTCAGACCACTCAAAACATGGACACCACAAGGAATCTCTTGTGGGTGGGAATCTGGTGCCAGTGGGTACCACATGGGGTGGCAGGGACTGCTGAGTCCAGAAGCTGTTGTATTACATCTGGAAGAAGAAGGAGATGGCTACAGAGGAACTGTTCCATTATTTGCTGTCATCCATGCTTTCCCAGAAGAGAGGGAAGAGTGGGAATGTAGCTCACCAAAATGGCTGATGGGCATCCCATAATTACAGAGCAGCTCTTTGGAGAGTTCTGATGTGGTCACAGGGAAAGTAGTGCTGTGCCTGCACTACAGAACAGGAGATTAATTTTGCCATTCCTCCCACTCAAACTCCGAGTGATTTACTGCACCAGAGGATACAGGGAGGATGTTTCTAACAGGGAATGAAACCAGTCCTGCCCCCAACTGCAGCTGTGGTCCAGGGCAGTGCCCTGGGGGGATCTGAAGGAGGAGAGCTCTTCTTCCACCCTGCTGGACTACATGACTTCTCACTCCCTGAGAAAAACTTCTTGAAAACCTGTGCTCTGTCTTTCTGTTTCTGTTCCTTGCCCAGAACATCCAAACACCACCTTCTCAACGGGACAGGGATTAGGATACTTGAGACTTTTCCCTTCCCTTTTTGCTCCAGCCCCTTTAAAGAGGATTTCTTAATAGTGCAGTGTAGGATGTCTGCTTTAACACCTTCTGGGCTCTTATTCTCTTTATCCTGGCTGCTGAAACAGATGATTTTGATCATTTATCCATGGATCACACAGAGGTCAAACTTCCATTCTTGAGTCACTAGCTTGGCTTTATGTATTATATATAATTGTCTGTATTAAATCTGTAAGTATTTTGGGAAAGGTTTCCAAGATAGAAGCTCCAAGAATATGTGATGAGCAAGAGTTCTTGATGTGCCCATTTCTTTGCTCCATTTTGTACGAGTGCTAATTACCCTGGTGGGTCTAAATGGGCCAGCATGTGCAGCAGCATTCCTGGTTCTCAGTTCTCATCCTTCATTTTCGCAGTAGATTATAAATGGACAGATAAATCTCTTCTCTGCTGAGCTAGATCTTCATTATAGGAAACAAATCAGCAGTGAAGCAACTTTTAGGCATGAAACAGTTTCCTTTAGGAATGCTATTTCAGTAGATGTTTCTAGGGAAAATCTTTAAATTTCCCTTAACAACTTTTCCTTTGACGCTGGGCATTTTTTCTTAAGTAATAATTATGAAACATAGGTCACAGGTTGTAACTTCAGAGCTGAGCACAGTGTAATGAGTTGGGAAACCAATATTTTTTATAATATTTCATTTTATAAGCCTGGCTTAGAGATATCTGAAATCTGTGAGAGTCTCATAATGTAATTGGGACTTATGAGGTGTATGTAACTAAACAGGGCTTACTAATTTTTTTTTGTAGCTTTGTATAGAGGCACCTTCATTGTGTTTTCCTCCCTCTCCTGTGAAGGAGAAGGTGTTCGCACTTGGGTACTTTGGCATTTGACTTGGGTTTTGCAGGGGTCCTTCTGTAACCAGCTGCAATCTCATGTTTTCTGTTTCTCCTGTAGCCATATCTGTGCTTCTGACTGACACCATTCTCCACAGCTGCTGCCATTGTAAGAGGAGGCTGTCTCAAAGGACTGCTACCCTTGTTAAGCCCAGTTTGTCTTTCTATTTTGTCTAAAAAACATTTTTTGCCATCATCTATAGATATAGGATTACCTCTGAAGAATTTTTAAATTAAAAAAAAAAAAAACAACCAACCCTTTGCTACAGAAATTCGATGAACACTATTTGATGCTATTTTCTAAAGTTTGCTCTCCAGACCGTTATTTCCCCCAGAGATGTGTTTTGGTAGTTGGCAGAGGATCACTTATGCAATATTGTGTCCAGCACTGAGCTCTTGTGGTTGTGTGGTGGTTTCGATCTGGCACTTTGAGATTTGAGCCCTTTCTAATAAACTGGGAATAAATTCATCAGAAACAGGAAAGGATGAGGGAAATAGGGTGGGCAAAATGAGAGGAAATAAAACCCCCAACCCTCAAAAAGCTGCTTAGAACCTCAGATAACTCATAGCTAAGTTCAGCTTGTCCTCCAAAAAAGCGAAGGTGTTCCCATAAAAGGTCCCAGTATATTTCCAAGAATAACTCTTCTTTCTCACCTCTGGACTGATCCCTCCCCAGGTACCTTGCTGTGCAGGAAATCTTAGTCCTAAAATATGCTGAAGTTCTCCCAGCCTTGTCTTGTTGGACCAGCAGTGCTGCCTTAGGAGGAAATTTAGCTCCTAAGTCTCTCTGTGCTCTGTTACACTCCTGATGTCAGAATCTGACCTTTTTGTTCTTGGTTATGTCATTCTGTTTGGTTTTTGTAGTTGATTTGGGTGGTTATTTTTAATTTTTAAGGAGCAAGGCAAGAAGATTTCCAGCAAATGTACTTAATGTCATTTTACTTGGCAAGCAGTATTGACTTCCTTCCTTATTCAACTGTGCAAAATTGAAGAGACAGTTGTAAAAAAGAGCTTGATCTTGGAGCTTTTCCCTGGACCCAGATATTTAATGCAAAATTCTCTGGAAAAAAGGTTTATTGCTCAAAAGCCTACTCGGGGCAAGAACCCTTTTGCATGCTGCAGCTGCTGGCATGTCTTGGCTTTTTCATTTCCACGATTAATCTACTGCATTTTTTCCCTTGGCACAAATGTTCCCAGCAGATGCATTTAAGGACCCCAGTTACCCCTTCAGAACATCAGCTGCAACCAGTGGGTTTCTCCAGCCTGAGCTGGATGTTTTTATCTTGGATCCAGTGATGCCAGGCACGAGGAGAAGCCCAAATGGAGCCTTTGGCTTCCCTCTCCAGGGGTAGCTCTGGAGGCTTGTGGCAGCAGCTGGTCACCTCCTCATCTTGGCAGGCTCAGGGAAAGCAGAGCTCAACCTGCACAGCCCTAAGGGTGCCCAGATGAGCCCATGGATGTGCCTGCTTACTTCCATTAGAATCTCATCTCCTCTTCCTTTCCACAGTCTGCTGCTTCCCAGATTTTTGCCCTGGAGCCACCTAATTTGCTGCTAATGTTGTTATAATTACAGCTAATTGGAAGAAGAGGAGGGAGAAGTGTGGGGTTTGCCACTGAAAATAATGACATCTGTAGGGAGAGGGGGGAAAATATGAAAAACAGAAAAAAAATGGATTTGTGGAGGTCTTCAGTAAAAACCAGACAGAAAAAAAAAGTCAATTAATTGACATCTTAATTTTCCTGGAAAAAATCCCAGACCCCTAACATTTTTGTTATTAGCATCTCCTCAGTGCATATATTACATGAGAAATTATCAGTGCTTCCAAGTAGTCAAGACAGATTTAATTAGCAGCTTGCCATCCCCATTGGGAATGAAAATGTGATTATTTTCAGCATTTTTACTGATCCAGCTTGATTTCTGCTGCTACAGAAAGGCCATTAGCACACTTCTGATTCCTAACTCCAGAGCATGTGAAGTTAAAGTGCTTTTAAAAGTCAACTTGAGCTGAAGATCACAGAATGTGTTGTAGTTCTTGAGAGTACCAGGCAGAAAAGTCTCTTGGGAAGAGGAACAGGATATGTGATTTAAACAGCTGCAGGATTTGATAATTTTATTTCTATAAGCCAAGAGATCAGGATTCATTATTCCTGATGTTTTCTCTTTAAGTGAAACAGTGACTGCATTTGTGCTTGTGCTACTAGAGATGTATCAGAGCATTTTTCCAAAACGTTTTGAAGCTTCAGGAAGCACGTGTTGCACCAGCAATAGCATCTTTCCTTTCTCCAATTTTGTTTTTTTTTCCTAGCTTGAGTGACTCACTATCAAACGCATTTTTGGATCACAGACACCTGCTTAGCCTTGGGTACTAATTATTCCCTCTGTCAGATGTAGCTGCTCTCTTGGATGCACCTAATGCCAATGTACACCTCTGGGCACTCCTGAATGTCAGCTGATCTTTTAAAATGTCTGGAAAGATTTTACATGGGGGCTTTAAACCATGAGACCCCACTGTTTGCTCTGTGTCAACCACCACCAGGATTAGAGGAAGGCTGAGGAGGAGGCTCCTGGAGCACTCTTTGCTAGCCCCACTCTCTTTTGCTTCTTCACTCCTACTGCCACTTGTATTGGTTGGATTACGGCCTTGTCATGAAGTACAGTGTTGGATTTGGGGGTGTGTGTGTGAAAGTGTTACAAAATGGAGGAAGATGACTCCTGAGTGAGTTGTAGTTCTCAATGTCACAGTAATTCCCATTGATTTTGCTTTTGCAGATTCCTCCCTGGAGAAGGGAGCCCATCGCTGACAGACCCTGGCCTGGAGAAGTGTAAACCAAAGGCTGCAAGGGACTCTTGCAACTTTATTATTCTGTGTTCTTCTGGGTTTTTTGCTCCTTAGCTCCTTATCTCTTCAGTGCACGTGATTTATGTCTGGTAAAATCCCTGTGAGGACAATGGAAAAGCAGCTCACACAGGCTGGTGATCCTCAGGATCCAGTTAAACTCTGCTGGGAAGCGTTGCTGCCCTTTGTTCTGAAGATGCTATTTGTGCTGCCTTGTGAGAATCTCTTTAAAAGCCTGATGAGAAGAGATGTAGTTCTTGCTATGGATTCAGACTGTCACATCTGGTTTGAATTGAATTCAAGAGCTTACAAGCCCAATAGTTGTGTGATTTTTTTGTGGTGGTTGTTGTTTGGCATTGATTAGGGTTTTTATTTGATTCCAGGGAATGATTTGTTGATTGATCACCTTGAATTCTGTCCTCTCCTTCTTGGCTGGTAAAAGGGAAATCTGCTTCACTGTTTAAACCCCTTTGTGTAATTATGATCAGGGTACCACCCATGCCAGGCCAGCTAAAACGTGCCCATTTGCCCTTTTGAGTCCAGGTAGATCTCCTTTTGTTTTGGCTCTCAAATTACATGTAAAACACAATCACATGGTTTTTTTCTGTGTGCACTTATTTGTATTGCAAGGATTTTAGTAGAAATATTGAATGGGTCCAACTTCTCTGTGAATATGGCTTTATATTTCCAAATTGTTCTTGTAATGAATCTGAACGTTGTCATGTAACCTCTAACCAAGAATAAAACCTGGCTTTTTAAATGAAATTGTATTTAGACAATAATTTTTTTCAGAAAATTTTGGTGGATGAGTGTCCAGCAAACATTACTTGATAATCTACATGCAAGATTGTCTCTTCCCTTCAGGCTTTTAAGAAGGCTACTTTTGAGAACAGGTATCCAAACCTGCTGAGACCTCACCTGAAAGAAGAAACAGATTTTTGCAGGACAGGAGATGTCATGGTAGCTCAGGAGTATTTCATGTGGATTTAAATTCTGACACAAAGAGTTTTTTGAGCTATGCAAAGACAGAGTCATCAGCTACAGGACAGCCTGCATGTGTCATTTCTTCTTCTGGAACAGGTATTTTCATTCCTTTCAATATTCAAATGCCTGTGCATAGAAATAATAACCTTACAGCATTAAACATGTCCAGCATTTGATTTTGGGCTCAATGGGGAATGGTCCATGGGAAAGGATTCTTCTGCTTTTACATTGTAGAGCAATGCTGCTTCTGCCAACAGGGATGAAAGAGCTGGCATTCCTGACTTACAGGACAGACTCGGGAAGAGCAGGAGCAAAGCACTGAGAGAGGTTGTTTTTGGTGAGCTATTGAAAATTAGAGTTTGACTGCAACCTTAGCTCCACAATGGACTCCTGAGCCTCTACTATGGAGAGGGGAGTTTTTATCTCTGCACGAATTCGGGGCTGGCTTACAGACACTGCAGCAGCAGATAAAGTAACAGAGCACAATATACCCCACTCCTCCCGATCAGCCATTTGGCTAATAAGGGTGAGATCATGGAAAATGCTAATGCACTGCCTTCGGAAAATCCAATTAGGATGTGAGCTCCCTCAATGGGAGCTCCCAGCAGGTGCCCAGCGCTGCGGGCAGCGCAGCCCGCTCCGAGCGCCGGGGACGCGGAACAGACGAGCTCTGTGTGCCCGCAGCGGGGGCAGCGCCCGCTGCATTCAGCGCCGCTCCTCTCCCCAGCCCTCCGCCGAGCATTGGTGGGCTCCGCTCATCCTCTGACAGCGTTAGCTGGCCCCGAAGGGCGGCTGAACGCGAGCTATTCACAGGGAGAAAATGCTCTTTGCAGGGCTATCTTTATAGTCACAGGCTTTTGATGTTTGTCAGGCTTGGGCACAGGACTGGAAACTTTGGCTCACGCAAATCCTGATATTCCTGGCGTTGTATCTTCTAAATATTCCTGTTTGTATCTTTTTAAATGCACGTAAAATGCCTGGAAGTTGCTTTTCCGCTGGATTTTCTTGGAATGATGTATGTTCCCCCAATGCAGGTGCTGTCATCTGTCTGAATTAGCATTGCCAGGCTCAAACACCCCCAGAGGAAATGATTTCTGCAGTGACCCAGACAACTCTGAGGGGGTGAGTTATTTCAGTTAAAATCAACCATACTGTTCTTAACAGGGATTTTTCCTTTCTTCAGCTGTGCCAAAACTGGATATCAACACTCCCAGTTCTCCCTTAAAAACCTGGGGTCTTTGGGGAGTTTTTGTCCCTTTGCTTTTTCCTGTGGAGAAACATGTTTTGTTTTTATACATAGTCTCATGAATTATAGCAAGAACACACCATCCATGAAAAGATTTTCTTCTCAGATGAAACGAGTTGTTTCAAAAGCAGAGCTAGAAATGCGTGGTGAACACTTGGGGTGAATATAATGATCTTTTACCCTTTGTCTCTGAGTCCCCACACCCAAAGACTTGCACTTCATTATCTTCACATCATCCTCCTACCAGTCATTGCTTGGCCATGACAGCAGTTCCTGGGTAATCAGGATTTTATGGGGTGCCCAGCATTTCTGGTCTTCATCCTCTCTCTCTCTTTCAGTAGTCCAGAATGGAATGAGAAAAAGCAGGTAGTGTATGACCATGCAATTTGGTCAAGCAGTCTCAGCTTCCCACTATCATGGATGGGGAATATACCCTGGAAATTCTACCTAGCCCATAGCACCCTGTGCTGAGCTCAGAGGGCAATTCTAATGAGAATCAAGTTATCTCTCTTTTTTAAAAAAAAGTAATCCTGAAGGCCACAAATGGTTTCTGTGCTTTAACTGTTGTGAGAATGATAGAAGAATTTCTCTGACTCGTGCAGATGCAAGTTTAAAGGTCTGCAAGACACCACAGGGTGGAAAGCATTTTTCTGATTAATAGAACACTTTCCCCCCAGGAGCCAGGATGCTGGATACTGCTGTGTTTTCACTTAGAGTAGCAACAGCCCTGCTTCCACCTGCCCTATAAAAGGGCAGCACCCAGGTGCTTCCTGTCCAGAGCTGCTTTGGTGAGAGCCAAGGCCCAGGCTGGCCATGGGCTGGCAGCACTGAGAGCAGGGCTGGGGCAGCCAGCAAGGGCACCTGGTGGGCTCCTCGTGGTCTTTGATGAGTTCAGACCTCACAGCAGTGAGACTGGAGATGGCAGTTTTGGTCTAATGGGAGAGAGCAGCCCAAGGAAGGGTCTGAGGCTCTTCCCAGGGCCAAGGGAAAGGATTTGGGGAAGGGAAGTCTTGTGGAGCAGAGCAGGATGTGTGCTGCTGGTGTTTGTAGCACATGACCTGGCTGAGAGAGAAGTGACAGCTCTGGCACATGGCAAACCTCCTTCATTGGCCTTTTTGTCACCTGGGTGGTTCCTTTCGTTCTGCTGCTTGGTTTAGCTGGGAGAAGAGAGGGAGATGGTTTAATTTTCTTGGAGGGAGCTTTCCTGTTGTGCCTTGCTGTGTTCAGGCATCCCGTGTGTCAGCTGTTGGTCATGTTAATCCCACGTTAATCCATTTAAACAAGGACATTACCCTGCAGGGCTGGCACATGCAGAGACTCTTTGCAAGTCATTCACCAAACCAGCTCCAGCTTTGATTATATATAGCAGTCACTTAAAACTCTCAGTTAAGGTTAGGCACCAGTCAGAATATTTCCCTATGCTAAAAGTTAGGGAAAACTGTGCTTTTCTGAAGGTTAAAATGAGAGCTGCTCTTTTTGCAATTCCTGTTCTTTTTTCCTCTTTCTCCTCAGTGCCAGATTTGCAGCCTGTCTTTTATAGTCATGCCCAGCATGGAATCTGTAGAAATAATGTCAGGAGAAACAATCCTAATTATGGAATGGAGGGGATTAGCAATGATAGCAGAAAAACACAGTTATCAACATCAGGATATTTCAAAGAAAATTCTTTCTGTGTAAGTGACCTGTTCAGACACTAAAGCAGCTTTGGAGGGGCAGTCAATCTCCCCATATTTCCAGCTTTCTTTTAGGAAAGAATAGCTTAACAGGAGAAAAGCTGATCTCTCCTGAACTGGAATAACAGTTCTCTCTTATGTTTGCAGTAGCAAGAGGGATTAGTTAATTCTCCATTAAAATTCCCCTGTGGTCAAGAATTTAGTGAGGGTGCGGATGCCAAAGAGGGGACTTGGAGCCTCCAGTGATGTACTTGCTCCAGAAGGGAAGGGAACTCACTAAAATCAGGTTTGAGGCATGAATATTGCATTACAGTTAACTAAAAGCAGGCTTGACTCTGGCTTAGTAATGCCCGCTAAATTGGTTGCTCACAGGGTTCCTAATCCTTAATAGTGATAATTAAAATTCAAAGAGTGTGTGTGATGTTGTTATCTCACTGCCCATGGCTTCTGAAGAGACATCTGACTTCCCTGAGGATTTGGGTGTGGTTGGGTCAGAGCACTGGAGCTGCTTTTCTATTCCTGGGTGATAAATTAATAACACAGGACTTGGAAACACAGCTCAGAAAGAGCTGCAAAACCAGAAAACCTCCCCACCAAATCAAACCCACTGCATTACAAGATAGCTGTTTGGGCAACTGAAAAAAAAATTAAAATCCTCAGGAAAAAAAAAAAAAAGGCAATTAATCTCAATGTGCTGTTAATTTAATAGTATTCCCATATGGAGTCTTAGTGCTACTGTCACAAGCTGGCCATAACTTCCTGCTGTTCCACAGATGCTTGTGACAGGTTCGGCTTTTCATGCTCATTTCTTTGCAGCCCTTCACTTTGGAGTCACAGCAGACCATCTATTTCTAATTTGTTTTGGGGTTTTTTTAGTCAAATGAGATTTGCAGAAAGTCAAGTTCCCATTGGAAAGGAACTTAGGTGCTGCTGTGCTGCCAGGAACTGTTTTCCAAATAATTGAATTCTTATTAATAGGCATTTTCGCTTTGATGAATGCAAACAGTCAAGCTATGGCATGCTGTGTGGCTCTCTGTATCTGAAAGCAAAGATAAGAGATGT